GCTAGACCAGTGGTAGGCAAACCATGGTTCACAAGCCACATGTCTCAATCAGATTGAGGACGTTTTTAGCAAAGGTCAACTTAGGAATACCCTAATTAAGTTAATAACAATGTACCTATCTATATCGTTTAAGTTTAAAAATTTTGGCTCTCAAAAGAAATTTCAGTCTTTGTACTATTTATATTTGGTTCTGTTGACTAATGAGTTTGCCAACCACTGGGTTAGACCATCATTCTGATACACCAAGGTTGTGGTTCTATCTCCAGTCAGGGCACATACAAGAGTCAAGGAATGAATGTATAAATAAGTGGAACAAAAAAATCCGTTTTTCTCTCTCTCTCTCTCTCTCTCTCTCTCTCTCTCTCTCTCTCTCTCTCTCTCCCTCCCTCCCTCCCTCCCTCCCTTCCTCTCTCCCTCTAAAAATACATAAATAAATAAAAATGTAAATTTTATTGCTCATCATATAAGGCAGCAGAATGGTATTACAGACATAACTATGCTAGATCAAACCATAGTTACATTATCACAGAAACAAATAATAATCAAGATCTCAAATCATTATTTAATTATTTAGCTATTACATGTTCAATTAATATTCAAACTTGAATTAAAAAGTAACATTAGCTGAAACCGGTTTGGCTCAATGGATAGAGCGTCGGCCTATGGATTGAAAGGTCCCATTTGGGCATTGTGAAGACTACATGAGACACAGTGAAGAGCCTTCTGGGCTCTCATGCTGCTGGTTTGTAGCCTCTGAACTAAGGCATGACCCTGTGAAGACATAGGTGATGCCTGGGAGGATACACAGCTGTTATCACCTCAGCATGACTTGTTTTATGTACTTTTCCCAGGATTAGCTGCTCCCAAGATGATTTCAACAAGGAACACATGAGGTGAAGAGCCTAAAGATAGAAGTTCAGTCCTAGCCGGTTTGGTTCAGTGGATTGAGCATCTAAAAAGTCACCTGTTCTTTTCTGGCCCAGAGCACATAACCTCGGTTGCAAGCTCAATCCCTGGCCAGCCCCTACTATGTGCGGAAGGCAACCAATTGTTTTGTCTCTCTCACATCGATGTTTCTTCCTTTCTGTCTCCCTCCCTTCCACTCTCTAAAAAAAAAAAAAAAAAAATTATATATATATATATATATATATATATATATATATATATATATATATATCAATGGAAAAATATCCTTGATTAACAACAACAAAAATATAGAAGTTCAGGTGGGACACCAGGCAGGGACACCCTAAAAATTGTAACTGAAGAATCAAAAGAATGATTTTAGCAAGAAATAAGGAGTAGCTATTGTATGCAATGCACTTTGCTGGGCCTTGAAGTACAGAGATTGGTTGGAAATGGAATCTGATGTTATGTAAAGAGCTTAAAAGTTTGCTTAAATGATGGGAAACATGGCAGCATGTAGATGGGTCACACAAGTATGGAGATCTTCATCTATTATGTAAATGTTTCCTGAAGACCCATGACATGTCTGGAATTTTGGAGAGTCCACAATAGACAGAACCTAAGGGTTTACAATCTAGCGGGGGGAAATGGGGTTGGCTGTTTCTTCATTATATAAATATGTACCTAAATACAATGATAACAAATGGCACAACAGAACTACAGAGAATATGATGGTGAATACGGACACCTAACTCATTAGGGGAACCAGAAAAGGTTTCTCTGAAAAAGTACAACTAAGCCGAGATCTAAAGAACAACATGGAGTCCAGGGTGGGGGGGGGGGGGGGGGTGAATAAGCCAGACCAAGAGGAGAGGTCATGTGCCAGGGACAAGGAGAGGTAGCAGAAGGATCTGGGGCATGTAAGGGCCTAAGTAGTGAGGCATAATAAAGCCAGCAAAGAAAGAGAACAGAGTGGGCCACTCTGTAGACCAAGTTGTGATGGGGTTTCACCCTAGGATCAGCTAGCCACTCCAGGGTTTTAAGCAAGTGGGAGGGACACACAGGCTGTACACAGGTGAGGTTTGCCAGGTAAGCAGAGATTAGGTAGTGGCTGTTGCAATAACCCACCAAAGTTAGTAGATTTGGCTCACAGGATCTTGGAGGTCACAATGCAGATGGAATAAAGTGGTGGCTTTTGGTCTTGATATTGAATTGGATTTGAAAGAAGAAGTGTTCAAAAGGACTCAAGATTCTCACAGTCCATTTACCACAGCAGGGAACCTCAGAGGGTAAACAGGTTTAGGAGGATAGATGAAAGTTCCCATTTAGGAAGAGTTGAGTTCTTGATATGAAACACACAGGAGGATCTGGGTCTGGTTCTCAGGAGAGGGGGCTGGGCTGGGTGTCCCTGGCTTCTGCCTGACACAGAGGCCTGGGGAGGGGTGCACTGGGATGATCTGTGGAGTGAGAAGAGGCATGGAGCAGGTCCTCTGTGTGTGCTTGTCCATTGCCCTCCTCAGGCAGTAAGTAGGCAATGTGTACCACTGTCCAGTGCACACACACACACAGGTTTCCCAGCCAGTACACTTTATGACTACAACAGAAAGCCAAAAACAGTCACAGTCCTCAGTGTTTTCCTTAAGAGCATCTACCAAATCGAACTGATGGTCATAACCCCTAACCCCGACACATTGCCCTCCTCCAGTCCAATTATGTTCCTTCCTGATCAAGCTATCCCCACATATCCCAACAAGCACACTTTTCACCCATGTGTATATCTTTCTTTAATGAAATTCTTTATTGAATTATAAATTCTTTAGTATATAAATATAGTTTTATAATTTATATATATAATTTATTTTTAATAAATTTATAACTTTTTAAATATATATAAATTATAAATTTTATATAAATTTATAATTTATATATACAAATAATTGATTTTTTACAGAGAGGAAAGGAGAGGGATAGTCAGAAACATCAATGAGAGAGAAACATTGATTAGCTGCCTCCTGTATACCCCCTACTGGGGGTACCCACAACCAAGGTACATGTGCTTGACCAGAATCAAACCTGGGACCCTTCACTCTGCAGGCCAACACTCTATCCACTGAGCCAAACCGGTTAGGATTTCAATGAAATTCTTAAAGTAAATATTTAAATGTCCCTATCCTCAACTTCTTTGTCTTTTCACAATTAATTTGTCTCCTTGCCAGTAATTGGTAGATTTCTCTTACCTCTGAAAGTAACAACCTGGAAGATCATGCTTATCACAGCAGCACTGGGGCAGCTAGATGGCTCAAGGCCAAGTGGACAATCCAGAGAGACCTATGAGAGCTGGGGTGATGGAGAGGCAGAAAGGCATGGGCTCTGGACTCAGGCATCCCAGGGTTAGAATCTCTGGATTCAATGACCTTGTTCGTCCTCCTCCATTCTCACTTGCTGGCAGCTGAATAATTAACCAAGACACTGCAGGTCTCAGATTCAGCAGGAGTGAAGATCAAAGAATATATCTTATTACTCAGTAACTTGGTAAAACTGAGTAATAAGTTACATTGCTCAGAAGTAGTGACAATATAGTATTTTACAACCTGCTTTGGTAAGTTGACTTATTTGAACACCCTTTTAAAAATAAAATTAGCATCCTAGACCTCTAGTACAATTAGTTTTGGGGAACTCTGCCAAATAACGTCAGGTAGGTCCCACAAAAATTCCAAATGTCACACGATTCAATGTAATCAAGCAAGCACAAATCAAATTTAATATTAAAGAATATGAAACACCTGCTAACACTAACTGCCAGGACTTGATGTTCTTTCATTCAGACAAGTGGACCCTTTGTGTGTGTCCCTCTCCACACACACACACACACAGGCTAAAGCCTAAGTGAGGTCCCATTTCTGTGACTGGAGTCAGAGTAAGTGGATCACTGGCCCCATGACCCAGACATTTCAGATGTGAAAATTTAACACTGACATTTCAATGACCCACCCTCAAAGATGGAATGCCTTATGCTTTGGTTTATTTTGAATCACAAGAGAAACGTTTTTATTAAACCCTTAAATTCTTCTCCATTAATGTGATTTAGATAATGAATTCATAAAGATTGAATTGATTTGTTTACATTCTCAGCCTTAGAAAAATTACATTCTTATTTGTTTGTGTACATTATCAAACCCAATCAAGCAAACAAGATGGTTAACTGAAATGATTAATGGATGCATACTAGCTGATGGCTTTAAATATAGAGTGTGCTACTGATGTCAGGGTTGATTAGTTCTCTATCTATCACTGATGCTATTAAAAGCTTTGAGCAATTTAGATGTAGTCATTGAATAAAATTCCAATGGGCTGAGTGAACTATCAGGATTGATTTTGCTGTAGCAAATTTACATATGCACAGATGTTGGAAAGAACGAGTGGGCCTTTCTTGATGGGGAGAAAAAAGCAGAAATCAGGTGATCTGTTGACATCCATCACAACAAAGGTAAAGGGGCTTGGGATAAAAAGTATTCATCTTCACACAAGGAATCCCAAGTGACATGAGGCTATGCATATTGATCATTTCTATTTCAGAACTTTTCAGAGCAGGAAAAATAAATGAAAGGGAAGCAAGAGGTTAACATGGTATCAAGCTCTAGTAACTCCCCTAAAAATGAACCGACAAGGAAATCATGGTAGTCAGTGGTAGAGACCATGGTTTTTATTAATAAGATAAAAGGAAGATATGGTACAAGCAAGGTTGGGGTGAGTACTGACAGTCACTGTATGGAATGATTATGTGTCATGAGTACTTCTGGACCTAGAAAGCAAGCTAGAGTGACTACACCAATCATTGTGAGGGGAGCTCCAATCCTGGGCTACTGCAGTTGAACTTGGGGAGATCAGATTGGTAAAGGAAGCTGTGACTTTAGAAAGGCTTGCTATGGGACTTTAGACCATTCCCAATGTCTATACTTATAGGTCCTACTGTCCAAAGATCTTTTAAATGGGAGGGAAAACATTATATTTTGGACCAAAATTCTCTGGATATTGAGGTTCCTTTCCTGTCCAGGGTATTAGCAGGTCTGATCTAAGCTGGAAGGTTCCTGCCATTATTCATGCAGTTGAGCCACCTCTAGGAAAAAGGCAGCAAACAATTTGGATCCCTCTATGTAGTTCCACCTAATGAGAAAAGTAAGAGAAACACTGTTATTTCCATTCAAATGATGGAGGAAAACTAGTCTACAATGTGAACAGAAAGATTTGAGGATATCAATTCAATCTAAAGTATGCAGCTTGTCAGGAGGTTCTGATGTGTGCAGGCCTGGGGTTGGGCAGTGAGGGCGTAGCCCCCACAGGAGCCTACCTGTTGATTTTCTCATTCTGAGAGTGCTCCCCATCATCAACAGCACCTAGTGGAAGCATCAGCACACTCTTCTGGATAATATCCTGGAATATTTTGGCAATTGGTATGGTTGATCCATCCCGGATCATATCTGGCTCTGTTCCAAACACTAAAACAGGAAAAGAAGGCATTTGAATAATATAAGGACAAGACTACGCCCAGGAATCACCATTACATTTGGTGCATGGGGTAAGTAAGCTTCTTGCTATCATGCAATTTATATTCTAAAATAGTCAGTAGCATCCAGAAGAAAACTGTGATTGTCTTCTTTACAGCTACCTACTTAAAAAAAAAAAAAAGGATATTTTCAAAAATTTTGTATTTTGAAGTAATTTCAGACTTATAGAAAGTTGCAAAAATAGTAAAGTTCCCAGGTGCCCCTAACCCTTCTTCCCCTAACATTAACAACTTACATACCTATTGTGCAGTTATCAAGAATAGGAAATTAAAATTGGAATATTATTAACCAGACTCCAACCTTATTGGAATGTCATGACTCTTTCCTCTTTTTCTGTGCCATGATCCCATCCAGAATCCTACACTGCGCTTGTCACCACTCTTCCATCTCCTCTGGTCTGTGACAGCTTCTCAGTCTTTCCTTGTCTTTCATGACCTTGACCCTCTTGAAGAGTACTGATTGGTTGTAATTCTTCAATTTGGGTATATCTGTTTTCTCATAACTGGAAGAGGACATGCATTTTTTGGGAAGAGCAGCACAGATGTACTTACTTTTATGGTTGTTTCATGAATTAAATATTAGAAAAGTGGGACTTTGTGTTTTTGTGTTTTGTTGTTGTTGTTGTTGTGTGTGTGTGTAACCAATCTCTCTATATAAAAGCCTAAGTGACTGTCTTACTCTTTGACCATTCGCCTGGTCGCTATGATATACAATGATCACCAGGGGGCAGACATTCCAACCAGGAGAGAAGGGAGCCTGAGTCCTCACGGAATTGGCCATGGATTAGATTGCTGCTGGGAAATGTCAGCCCCGAATATGCTTCACCTGCACCCCAAGATTGGTTTCAGCCCAATCCCTAAAGGCCAGGCCAAGGGACCCCAACAGTGCACGAATCAATGCACAGGTCTCTAGTATATAAATAAACCACTATAGTCTGAATATTTGTACTCAGATTTCAATGTATTCCATGAAATAGTTTAATGGTCTAAGATCTAGAAAGAGATGGGTTCAAACCCTGCAGGCAAGAAGGACAAGTTACCAATGATGGAGTGGGAATGAAAAATAAAACAAAGACAGAAAAGAGAATATGCCACATGGTCTAAATCCACAGAGCAAGGCATGAATGTGAAGAACGTTGATGTACTAGGTGGTTTATCACACAAATAGACCAAAAGGTGACTCCTGCATTCCTGCAAGAGCATCTCAGATCTTTATTGTTGACCTTGACATGTAGATCACACATCTCTCTTCAGCTGTCATTACATTTACCTGCCTGACTTATCTTCCTCTTTTCTTCACTCCCAAATTTTACTGGTAAAATACTGCTGCACCTAGAGGCATTGGAATGGGGCTTTTTATCCAATTTTTCATGCCTGTGTCCCTTGTCCTGACAACCCTCACAGAGACTTGGTCCTCCCAGTAGGTCTGGACCTCAGATCCAGCTTTGGCATCGTCAGGGGTGTAAGGTCCCATCTGTAATACAGTAGTCCCTCCTATTCATGACTGCACTTGCATAAACTCAGTTATCCATGGTCAACCACAGCCAGAAATAAACAATGCCTACATCACTCGCCTCACTTCATCTCATCATTGAGAGGGCAGGGCAGGGTAAGAGGGCAGGGCGGGGTGAGAGGGCAGGGCGGGGTGAGAGGGCATCGTGGGGCGGGGGCCAGCTCCCGGTAACTGGACCCTAGCCCTAACCCAACCCATCAGGTCAGCCAAGGTAGTGGCACCACCCTCCCTATAAAACCCATTGATATGTTAAGTTCTTTCTCTTTCTCGCCATGCCCTCACTGGTGTAAGTGGGACTGAGCTCAGACTAGTCCGAAATAAATACAGGCTTTCTGCAATTGCATCGGATTCGGCTCCCTTGTAGTCTTTGGGGTTTATGACACTTGGACATTACAATCATCACATGAAGGGTAAGTACCGTATAAGATGTTTTGAGAGACCACATTGATGAGACAGTATATAAAAAGACCCCTGCATGGTAATACAGCCTGTGTAAAAAGGATGGTCGATATTTGGAGTTTTAAATGTGTCTGCTTTATCCACATCTCCCACCCTTGTGCACCACCCCTCACTCCCACTGGACACTGGAAACTCGAAATATCCTAAGTCCAACCTGTTTTGATGGCTCTTTTTGCTGCAAGATACTGATGATCTTTAATATCTGCAATCCACGGGTGCAGTCCCAGCACCATGGAAACAGCCATCTGGTTGGAACTATTTCTTTGGGAGAATATATACTGGAGATACTGCTGCACCTAAAAGGTAATGTTTTCAAATGTAAGAGAAAATTTCTAGTTACTCCCTCAGACATTGACTATAGTCTTCCATCAAGGAACTTGGAAACCCTAACCCAAGTCCAAGGGTTGTGATCTGACCTTGGTTCTGCCTGCGGGATGATGACACAGTGAGCTAGTCTCTAGGATGGAGCTTCACCCAGTGGGAGAAACACTTACCTTCACCCTCTTCTATCCCCAGTCCCTCCCCTCCCCATCCTGACCACAGTGACTGTTAATATTTGCTTGCTATGAATTTGGTAATTGAAACCTTGAATAGTATTATGGACAACATGAATAATATGAACATTATGAATGTTGAGTGATTATGTAACATAATACAAGTATAACTTCTCAATTTAAAAATTCTTCTTTTTGGACTTAGTTTGAGAGCAATCCACACTGAGCTTGGAAAGGGCTTCTTAGCATCCATCTCTGCCCCTGGATATGTTGCTACTACAAAAATCCTCTAAAGGAAAACTCCCATAGCCTGAGATATTTCTTCCATTCATTCCTTCAACTAACGTTTATTTATAGAACACCTGTCGTGTGGCAAGCACTGTTCTAGGTGCTGGGGATATAGCTGTGAGCAAGACAGACAAGGTCCTGCCCTGGGAATGAGTGTTGTGAGAATGGGGGAGGGGAGAAGGAGAGGCAGTTGGGGCGGGGACCCTACTTGAGAATGTAATTATCTCCTAGAACCTTGGTTGGCAAACTGCAGCTCCAGAGCCACATGAGGCTCTTTGGCCCCTTGAGTGTGGCTCTTCCACAAAATACCACGGCCTATTTTGAAGAAGTGGCATTATAAGAAGTTTAAGTTTAAAATTTTTGGCTCTCAAAAGAAATTTCAATCATTGTACTGTTGATATTTGGCTCTGTTGACTAATGAGTTTGCCAACCACTGTCCTAGAAGACAGCAACAGAGGAATGTGGAGTAGAGAGAGTTGGGATGAGTTATTTCTTGAGCTCATTTGTTCTGAGTTTACTTCCTATTAAACTTGAAGTTTACTGATGACGGGTGGGTAATGTAGACATACAAATCCTTCCAGATAACTTTTTCATTAAAATGGCCCCGTCAGAGTGTTCATTTCAGACAGGTGGACAAGCAATGGGCACTTGAGATTTTCTAGCTCCATCCAACCAGCCAGTTAGCTTCTTCATCTATGCACAAAACCAATCTCGCCTTTATACCTACCATTCAATTCTTTAAAATTTTCCATCATTCCAACTCCAAATGGTTATTTATCTGACTACTGTAATTTCAATATAATCGAGTAATCGAGGAGATTTTTAGCGAACAAAAATTATATATATATAAAATATATATATATATATATATATATATATATATTTTTTTTTTTTTTTTTTTACATGTGTTGCAGTCCCTTTTATATTGGGGAAAAAAATGGTACTTCAATGCCAACACCTGCACTGCTCACTCCACATGGTGCGTGGCTCTCGGGAGGGTGCTCCTAGGCAGAACCATGCAGGTTTCTTACCTGTTTTTCCACCACAGACATATTCATGTGAGGGACCAGGCGGATGGAAAATTTTCCTAGAACTCGGCCAGGTATGACTGTTTTAGTCCCAGGCTCATCGAATGCGCCCTCGATCCCATGGATAGAAAGAGATGGGTACCTCCATAGGTGCATCAGAATTTCCTCCTGAATTGAAATAAAGTTATTTTATTATGTTCAAGAAAGACTGGTTAAAATCAGTTCCATGAGATTGCTTACATCACCAGTTTCTGTACATCAGTGACACCATTGATGACAAGTTCATTATCACCCTGCGTGGCGACGTCTGGACTAATAACACAAGTGATCTTCCCCTCAGGACATGAGGTCCTGTGCGGCTGTCACCTCCCCAAGTGACTCCAGTGGCAAAGGCCCTTCCTCACCCGAGCTCTGAAGTTTCCACTTGATAGATGGCAAAGGGGCCCTTTCAGAAATGTGAGTTCAGTTATAAATTTCCATCCCCAATCATCGCAGTGACAACTTGCATGTAAATGCCTTTGATTTCTCAGGCATCCAAGCAGTTTTCCTGCAGACTATGGCCAGGAGCTCTTCAGAGGAAACAGACCCCGCCTCATAGTAAACTCCGCCCCTGCGTCTAGCAAAGCTCCCCTCCCCTTTCTCCTCCCCCACCCCCTACCCCCACCCCCAGTGCCCACACTTCACAGCAGGAGAAGGTGGCAAAGGAAAAAGTCCGAATTTGCTCTTAACAATGCCTCTGCCTCTGGGCTTACTGACTACACTGAGGCAGCGATGCAGGCATTTACAGGGAGCTCTGAGGCTCTTGGTTTTGTCTACAAAAATGAACAGTGAGGGGCCTTGGAGCTAAACAATTGCAGGCTGTTCTCACTCTTTGAATGAATAGGAAGCCCAGCTGGTGGGGATTGGGGCTAGCAAACGGATTAGGAAAGGCTGGGCTGGGAAAGGAAATGCTCTGGAGTTATGGCCCCCAAATGAATATCTGGATCTAGACCCTGACACGCCTCAGAATTAGCGGCTGTCAGTTCCAAGATGCGGAGATAAGCAGCGTCCAGACCAGGCAATTGGGAAAGTGGTTTAATATTGTCATTCCTTCCAGAGAGCCGCCAGCTGGTGGCTGTACCTTGGTGTCGAACAGAAATTTCTTAACCCGGCTGCTGTTCCGGTATTCTTCTAGGTCCAGGTCGATGGCGCCATAGAGTTCTTTCTCCTCTTCCGTGAGAGGAGCCACGTGATCATAGATCCCAGGGATCAGAATGTGACCGGCAGAGTCTGTGAGGCTACCTACAGGACACACAGGAAGCAAAGCCAAACAGATGTTCCTCTGGGCTGATGCTCAGGCCCTGCAGCGGGACCCCTAGAGGGGGATGCTACAGAAAGGAGCAGGTCACCAGGCAGACTCAGCCTGTGCCAGACCTGCTTTAATGTCTATCTTGTTGGATGGAAGGATGAAAACATGGATTTGCAATCAATTAAATGGGGTTTGACTCACCTGCATTACTTTCAAGTTCCCACCTCTACCTGTGATAGCATAAACATAAAACTTTTAAAAGTTTTAACATATCCTGAGTTAAAAAGTAATGTGTTCATAAAAATGTTTCGTTATATATGTGTAAGCATATACATAATACTTGAGAAAGTGAAAATCATCATTCCTTCTCAACATCTCTCCCCTCCACACATAATAATATAACAAATACTCATCATTAATCAAAAGCATAATATTGGGGTCTAGTCTGTGAGATCCATCAGGACCATGAGAGCCTTTGTGGTGATGAGCAGTCAACTGGGCTGTTATTTATGAAAGACTTTTGGGATTAATAGGAACCAGAAAATCATCAAAGAATATCTATAAAAGAAGCAGACTCGAGATTTAGTGGACATTGCTCACTATCTCAAGAAAGTACTTATCAAAGATACAATGCAACCAGCAAGTAGAGAACATAAATGATGAAAGACATCTCTGGGCAGCAAAATCTGTCCTTAGTCCATCTAGGGACTTTCATTCAAGTAAAGACACTTCATAAAACTATGTCCACATTCCCAATGTGATTATAACCTGTCAATGCCAGAAAATTACTGTGAGGCATGACATTTTCAAATCTTTCCATTAAAATTGACAATCATAAAGCACACGGTAAAAGCTGTGGGTCTACAGGCAGCTCTATCCTTGCATGGGAGGATGTCAGCAGAAGTTTGGGGACGTTCATTAAAGGGACACTAAGTGAGTCTACTGTTGGTAGTGGATTTATGTCCTGCTTTGACTTTGGTAAGGGTGACTGCAAATCAATGACAGCCAGTCCCAGTCACTCGGTGCCCAACTTTGACTTCAACTTTACTACTGGGTTTGTATCATGACCTTAACATACTATATTGTATTGAGCTAAATGAGGGAAGTTCCATAACTCAGGGCCATGGATGCTGTGCAGCAATCTGCAGTACTGTACCCCAAGTGCAGTGACACATTCTGGGTGAAGTCCTGGGGGACAAGGGGAGGGACTGAGGAGGATGTGGTTGAAAACCAGAACAGTGACATCTTCCCTTCACGTTTTGATCCTGACACTCTCAACCCTCGGGCCTTGCTGTCTGTGGTCCTCTTAAAGCGCTGGGCATGTCATTACACGTTGCACTACCACCATTCATGTCCTAGTAGATTTTCATAGGGGGTTTTCTTTGGCTTAATTAGAGCTAAACCACCTATTGGTCCACTCATGTGGTGTCACACTTGTTATTTAGCCTTGTGTGGTCAGAGACAGTGCCCTCATTCACGGAAGGTGGGTCTGTGTATGGTCACATCCCAGCATTCACTAGTCGCTGGAACACAGCAGGTGCCTAATGACTAAGTGTAATGCATGAGTCCTCATAGAGCTTCAACCCTGCGTCCTTACATACACAGCAGATGAAAACCACAAAATGAGCACAATCCAGAATCACTTTGTTAGGGATTGTTTCAAAGTTTAAAAAGGGGAAACCCTTTTCATTTCATTTGAGAGGGCGGGAGATTGAAATGCATTGTAAAGACATGAAGGTGTTGCTCCTAGGGAAGAAAATAAATTATTTCTAGTAAAATAGAGAATTGGCCTTTGCCTATCCCCCAAATATTAAGTTGTATGCTTAATATTCTGAATCTTTCTGGAAACAATTTAAACACTTAAAAGGAAAATGGCTTGTTGCATTCTGTTTTAAATTGCCAAGCAAGTATGTTGTAAAATTTGTATAAAGATGCACTTTGTGCCACGTGAGGCAGACCCCAGTATTGTGGCCTGAACTTACGTAACCTGAGAACCTGTTTGAAAAGAACACCAACATTCAAACACAAAACAGCAACATCTCTGACAGGACTGTGGAAGGGGCTCCTGCAAGCAAGGCCCCTGAATATGAAGCTTCCTTCAGTTCCTAGAGATCCACCCCAGCTGCTGGGCAGTCCTGATATAGGCAAGAGCCACAGGGTGAATCAAGGTGGGCAAATGGGCTCTCGGGGAATACCACACACACACCCCTAACTTTGCTTGCACACACCAGGTATCCACAGGAGGTCAGAAGCAGGTATAATTGGCAAACTCATTGGAATTTCTGTGCAACCTGGGGGCACAGCAACGTGGAAAAAGGAGCCAAGTGGAGCCAGGATATTTGGCATCATTCTGAGAGCCTCCCCAGAAGTTTTTTGATGCTATGCCATTGTCTTTGCTTCTGGCCAGATGTGTCACAGTATCCAGTAAAAGGGACAAATTCAGGAAGAGGTTCAGTCAATGAAAAAAAAAAGATAACATGGACTTAATAAGCCTAAGGAACATTTAGATAAGGGGGAAGCTAAGAATATGGTTTTTCTTCCACTGCACCTCTACTCAGAGCTGGCTTGGACCAAGAAAGAAGAGACACATTGGGTCAAACAGAACTATATTTTAGGAGATTGCTTGATGTTTAAAAAGTGAAATGAAATAAGACATTACCGAGAAGAGCCACCAAATCAGCCATTGGCTCCTGAAGAATACCACCAAAGGTTCCTGAATGAAAATCTTGATCTCTGCATGTCACCTGTAAGACAGGTAGAAGAGAATACAGGTGCTACCACTGTTGTTTTGTAGCTGTAGCTTTCACCTGGTGGGAAACACACCCAACCAGTGTTCCTCTGGACTCAGGTAAGCACCCTGACATCGCTCCTCCTCCTGTCCAGTCACATGGCTCCCATGTCTTCTTTTCCCATGTCTTGAATCCCTGAACCTGACCAACCCCCACCTATTTCACAAACATGGTTCTATCTAACATCACCAAACTATTGATGGCTACATTATCGTCTTCTTCTTGGTATCACCCCCATCTGTTGCTCACCCTCCTAGGAAAATTCTCCTTCTGTGGTTTCTGAGCATGTTTCTCCTCTGTATTTTTTTATTGCCTGTTGGATATTTCTATTAATGTCTCCCCTCGTAACTTCTCTTCTGTCTCCCACCCCCACCGGTTATTCTGGGGCACATTCTTCCTCACACACAGAGCCCCAAGAACTAGCTCACTGGGCTTCATTCACAGCCCCACACTCCTACATGTTCACACCTATATGTCTGATCCCCCAGGTGTGCTACTACTTTCTGAAATTCAGGTCTAGAAGTCAATTCAACACCTTTTGCTATGATGACTTCCTACCAACTTGCTCATTTCCAAAACAAGGATAGTCCCCAGACCTGTTAATCTGTCACCTTAAAATTATCTTGGATTCCTCCTATGTACACCATATCTAATCTGTTACCAAGGTCCAGTGAGGTGTTTTTTTAAAATTGTCTCTTTGATTCAGCCTCTACTATCATTCCTGCCCAGCTGGTCTTTCTCTGCCTGGTGCACCTTTAAGGTGTGACCAGGAGTGTTTTCTCTTTCCTGTCCCACTGGGTTCCCACAAGATGCAATAATTACTGACCACCTTGTCACAGACTAAAGTGGCTGAATAACAGATGATTTTCCAGGAGGAACTCTCTGATTCTGAGTTGTGTGCTCTGTCCCAAACTGTCTGTATTGATGGAAGAGGAGAAGGAAGCAGACTAGCTGTCACATTTAGCCATCACACAACCCTAGAGGCTTGTGGGAGGATTTTCTGTGTTCGCTTTAGAGGTAAGGATGCCAAGACGTGGAGGGTAAGGGGCCTACACAGGCTGTATGTGCAATCACTGAGCCAGACTGGGATGCAGGCCTCACAATGTCAGTGCCCCTGGTCCTCCGTCCCAGAGGCAGGCAGGCCCCATGGATTAGATACTGTTGCCCTCCCAGGAGCCCCAGCACCTGATCAGCAGGCTCTTAGCTCCCCCCACTCCCTGAAGGCTGCTGGGCCTGCCTCCAGATTCCACTTTGCACAGCTGCAGTCCCTAAATCTTTTGGCTTGTGAGTCATAAGCCCTCTCAATTCTGTCTGCAGAAAGATGCACAATTCACAGGCTTACAGTGGGGCTTCATGAACCCCACACCCCAACCCAGGACCTCCCAGAGGCAGGTGAGCTTCCTGGGAGAACTCTGTGCTCTCACACAGCTTTGTCTCTGCCCCTCCTAGACCTCAGGATGGCTTCCTCCCAGCAGGCCACCAGGGTTTGCCATTACCTCCACCGTGAAGTAGCAGTTCCCTCGAGTTCCGTAAATGAGTGCTGGCCTCCTCTGGCTCACCCACAGGTTATCTGAAATCACAATGTAGTCCACGCTGGAAAAGAACCTGTCCTTCTCTTTCCTGACCAGTTCCTCCAGGGCCACAGAGCCGGCTTCTTCCATCCCTTCAATGATGAACTTGATGTTCACGGGGAGATCCTGAGTTAACAAGTCAAAAGTTGGACAAACCAATCTGTCAAAAACCACACAGTCGCCCACTCACCTTGTAAGACTTAGAGACAGTGTGTATTTAATGTAAGTACGGTAATTATCATGTGTTCAATATGCGAATTATTCATGTTCCCAACATCTCTGTTACAACAAAGGAATTTCAACCAAGGTTGTGAAGGAGAGTTCAAGGTAATGCCCAGTGTACACATTCCACCGTTCCAACCAATTTAATGTTGATGAAGGATTTGGGGAAGGAATTCCTAAAAGCAGTGACATCTACACCACAGAGTTCTGCGGGGCTGCCCCAGACAGAGGTCCTTTCTTCCTTCTTCCCAAAACGAATTTTTCAAGAAAGGTTATTCTATTACAAATCTCCTTTCTGAACTCATAACTCTGAGCATGATAAATGAGACCTCTTTCCTTTGAAAGACTGGCTAATATTTAAGCCCTGGGATAATTTTTATTTCAAGTATCTGTTATTTTTCAACTACAAGTTCAATCTGCCTTTTAACTTATTCAAAGGCTTTGATCATGCAGCAGAATGGGACATGAGTTTTTTCCAGTTAATATTAGGGCTCAGAATCACTCCTTTAAAATTTTTACAATGTGCCCTTCCCCCATTTGGTTTTGATCTTATTGTATTTCTATAATTTATAACTTCCTATCTCTGAGAGCCACATGAAGAGGAGAGGTTAAAGTCTCTTCCCAGAGCAGAAGACACACGTAGGAGACTCTAAAAGTGATTATACGCAAACGGCAGCACATACATACTAATTAGCTCTAATGAGTAGGACTGACTGGCCAAAGATGAACAAAGGCAGGAAGAGCAGAGGATTATGTATTAGAAATATGACCTTGGGCCATTCTGTTGGTTTAGGGCATGTGGGGATGATGATTTGTTCAAATGTATCATTTGTGTACTTTTCTATGTGTCTTAGGAAGTCAAACTACAGTACTGAAATCTTAATATTCAAAACCTTTTTATTAACACTTAGTTAATATGACTGAGATGTAGTTGGAAAGTCTAAGATTTTCTGGCCAAATGTGTTGAATAAAATCCAAGCCAATGGCTACTAAGTGTTGGAGGAGGGTGGCAGGCCAGCAGGCCCTCTGGGGCTTTGGTCTCTGCTCTGTCCCTTGGCACCCAAGGGACCTGCACAAGCTAGTCTACCTCCGGGCAGCTCAATTGTCTCCGTATGGGCACTGACAGCCCATCTGGCTCTGGATGAGATGGGCAGGTGAGGTGACGCACAGCTAGTGATCTGCACACAATACAGGAAAGGGTGAAAGGGCGAAGGGCAGGAGGGCACCAGGAAAGAAGAAGCCCACAGTTATAGGGCCCAGCACTCGTAGGCACTGGAGTCCCTTGACTGTTACTTCATTTAGTCTTCTCAATGCCCCGAGGGAGAAGTGATCATTCCTACCTCACAGACAAGGAAAAAGAGGCTTAGAGAGAATTAACTGGATTATGTGCTGTTTGTAAGTATGTAAGCTTCAGAGTTGAAATTTAAAAGCAAAGCAGATTTTGGCCTTTATATAGGAATTTTCATATAAATATTGCTTCCCTCTTAAGAAAGAAGGGAAAAAACAAAGAGAGAGAGAGCTAGAGATAGAATGAGGAAGGGAGGATAAGATGAAGGGAGGGAGGAAAGAGACAGAGAAGAAAGTCTAAGGAGATAATTCAAGACAGAGAGGAAGAGAGAAGAGAAACCAAAGCCACATTAAACTTTCAGACTGACCAATGTGAGTGTCAAGAATCACAAGGCAACTTTTCAGTGGTCGAAGGACCTGCCAGCAAACTATCCTCACTCAAACTTTCTTTCTCAGTGAGACAAAGCAGCTAAGCAGTCACATTCCCCCACACCCTTTCTGCTTATGTCTGGGAGAAAAGAAACTCATGAAAGAGAAGCCCAATGAAATCTCCTTCAGGGGAAGGCACCACAGAGTCAGGCCCTGCTCTGAGGGACAGGATTTGGGAACAAGGGGCACCATCAAAGACCTAAGCCTTGGGCCTGGACTGGGACGGCGCTTGGGCCTGAGCACTGCTTCCCTGCTTCTTCCTGGAAGAGGCTGGAAGGAGACCAGCAAGCAGGAACCCTGATCTTCAACTTCCTGTGTACAGAGGTGCTTGATTCAGGGAAGTCATGTGAAGGAGAAGTCATGGCTACGTATCCTTAAGGTTAGCCCCATAAAATCCCCGAGGGAACGAAGGGCTAACACCTCCATTTTTATGGGACAGGACTGAGGCCCAGAGAGACTAGCTCTCCTGCCCAGGGCCACACAGATCGACTCCTCTGTTTGCCTATGTGCATTCATCAGAAGAAGGCAGGGTAGTGTGAGATGAGACCACCCTTGTGAGAGCATCAGGTGGGACAGTAAAAAGCTCAAAGCTGGGCCACCACCATGTCCTCTGATGGCCCGAGAGAGGCAGCCCTCTACCTTTCCAGTACTTGTACTGGCATACCTATGAAAACTACATGTCAAAGAATGGAGAGGCCTAAAGATTCAAACAGGATGTCACATACCAGGGAACTCTATCTTGATCATTGATAAAATAATGTATTGTTTTAAAGTGTATGTTTGTATCTATTAATAAAATCAAGCTTTGTTATAAGGAGGAAGAGGAGATAAAAATTACAAGTCAAAGTAAGATAAAGGTGGAAAAGGCAAGTCCCAGTGAGAGTAACTTAGCCACAGGCTCGTCATGCTTTTTGTTATGTGTTATTGTTTTTTTCCATGTGGTTAGCAGCACAGGCTCAAGGTACCATGTCTGCCCCAGACCAGCTGGGTGGCTTTGAGCAAGTTCCCTGACTGTCCCAGGGTGTGATTATAAGAGTACAGCCCGAAGAGGAAAGGACAAAAATTCAGGTGAAAGCTTGCAGCACAGGGAGGGACTCAAATTGCCTATGCAATTATCATTGTCATCATCATCGTCACTGTCACCATCATTGTCATCATCATCATCATCGAGCTCCCTCCCCAACACCACTGGCTACCTACTTCCTCCAGGGCTCGAAATGTACTCATAGCATTAATCCACGCCAAAACAGGACCCTTGTTGTCGGTTGCTCCTCGTCCGTAAAGTTTTCCTTGAAAAATGGGGGAAGAATTTGCAGAAAAGCATGAGTAGCTCTGCCAACTTGAATGAGTTAAAAACCAACATTGTTTGATGGGTAATTGCTTGAACAGGGCTTTCTGCTTGTAAGAACAAATCTTGCACTGAAATCGCAAAGTGTGATTTATATAGAGACAGTACGGCCACTAGCTAGACATAAATGTAAGCTCTATTGAAATATACAGATCCATTATGAGGTGTTTTATCAAAATTCATGGAAAAGGGCCTGTGTTACAGATGGTCATGTAACACAGCCTCTCATGTTGAGATTTTACAACTAGCAAAAGAATGAAATAAAAGAGTACATGTAGCTGCATTAACCTTTCTCTTTTTTTTCTTTCAAGAGAAATTATAGTTGTTAATTTTAAAAAGAAAACGTTTGACCAAGATAACTGTTTTCCTCACAGCCCAAGGACTCCAGCCTGGGGCACTCATTCACTCATGGGCACAACGGTTTGAAGTTTCTTTTCCAAATGAAATAAAATTGGCCACATTGGACCAACTTGTAGAGCATGAGAGTTGCATTTAGTTCATTCTTAACAACAGGTTAGGCCTGGGCCAGTGATGGGAAGCCTGTCTTAAATCTTTATCCCTGTGAGCATCCCTTATCCACAGAAGCACCAGCTCTGTGCTCCAGCGTGTCACTAACCGTCCACTTCCGTCAGCGTGTAAGGGTCTGTGAGCCACCCATCAGCCTGTGTGGCTGGCTGCACATCTAGGTGGCCGTAGACGCACACGGTGGGTTTCCCTGGATCATTCCCCAGCTCACCCAGGATGACAGGAGGTATTGGGAGAGTCTGGCCATCAGGGAGCTGCAGGAGGACAATGGGTCGTAGTTTTAAATAAATGCTGTTTAGTTCTTCCTGACAATTCAAAGACATGATGTTGGGAGTCCTGCTTCTACCCCTGGGTCCTGGCAGAGCCCATATAACTTTCTGATCACCCTTTATCCACCTTTAATATGGTACCACAAGACATTTTTAATTAAAACGTGAAGTATAATTTAAGTGAAGCACTTCCTCAGATACACATTGATAAGCAGGAAACTTAGCTGAGCATGCTCTTCAGTAGGAACTCAGACTCAACTACCTTGAATTGGGTGTTGGAAACAAACCATTGGGAGACTTTCAATGCTAAGCCAGGCAGCACTGGGTGCTAAGAGTTAAGATCGCCATTATTGACCGAGGGGCAGTAACAGGAAGTGATTCTGATGAGAGACTGGAGCCCCAGAAAGATGCCTTAGAGCTCAGTTTGAAGCTTGCATGCAGGGTGTGAACAGCAAGGGGGCCTTTCCAGGGTGAGTCTCCTTGACTCACCTCCTCCACTTGTGTTCCCTCCCACCCCCACACAAGTCCTGACACGATGAGAAGTCAACATGGCACCCCCGTTTGAGATGAGGAGGAATTCTATGGGTGTTTGTATTGAGGATCTTGCCACCACCACGGGAGGGCAAGGCTGATGCACAGGGAAGTGGCAGCTCAGGGAAAGGGGAGGGACAGCCAGCACCTGCTGAGAACCCAAGTCCTCGAGGTCCACGCTGGCCCCCAGGCGCCGAAGCTCCTCTGCGGCCACGGCCATCATCCTGAGGAGCTCTTGTCGGAGGTGGGGCACAGGTTGAATGGAGTCACTCTCTATGGCCACCCACTCCTTCAGCGTCTGTGAGGACAGGCCACAGGGTGATTAGCATGACACAGCACAGGAGGCACAGAATTCCCCAATGTCCATCATTTGACCTTGATATTCAAAAGTCACTGGCCAAGCTGAAAGTGTAATCAGGAACATAGAAGCCAGAGTTGGCTGGTCAAAAGGAGAATGGGACAGGGCAGGTGAGTGGAAGGCTGTTGTCCCACACACCAGGCATGTGCCCCTGTGGGTTCACCAGGGTTGCAAAGAAGGGCAGGTCCTGACCCACCCTTTCTAGTTTTTAGCACTGAGAAGACTGGTTGGCCATGCCCCCACCAGAACTGGCTTCCCACAGTGCCCTGAAGGCCTCTGGACCTCACAGAGTACCCTACTTGACCCCCTGGCGGCTTCAGCAGGCTGCAGGGCTCCTTGGAACCATCCTTCGTACTTAGATTTTGTGGTCAACCCCACCTGTTCCTCCAGAACCCTCAGGGTGGCAGGCAGCCTTAGCTCCTAACCCTGGACTGCCCATCAGAGTTGGACTTGGAGAATACTCCGTACATTTTCTTAGCCTCAGCTTTCTCGTCTCAGGTTATGGTGACTGTGAGGTTGTGATACAATGGAAAATATATATGTTTTGGTCTTTGTCTCACCTGTTGTCCAGAGCTCCTAAAACTTTCACAACTTCCTAAGTGATGGAGGTGTCAGGGTCATCTTCAGGTCTAATATTTGCTCTCAGACTCAGTGTCCTTGGTAGGTGAGTTCAGCCAGGAGAGGACCTCAGTGAGGGGACTATGGCAATCTGAGGATGGTTCCCAGTGAACGTGAGTTCAACATTTGCCAGACTCCAAGGACAGCCTCCTAGATCAGTGGTTCTCAACCTTTCTAATGCTGTGTATGGTTCCACATGTTGTGGTGACTCCCAACCATAAAATTATTTTTGTTGCTATTTCATAATGGTAATTTTGCTACTGTTAATGAATCATAATGTAAATATCTGTGTTTTCCAACCCTGCTAGCGGTTCTCAACCTGTGGGTCATGACACACAGGTTGAAAGCCACGAGTTGAGAGCCACTATAGAGCCTAAGACCATTGGAAAACACAGATATTTACATTACAATTCATAACAGTAGCAAAATTACAGTTATGAAGTTGCAATGAAAATAATTTTATGGTTGGATCATCTCAACATGAGGAACTGTATTAAAGGGTCACAGCATTAGAATGGTTGAGAACCACTGCCCTAGATCAAGTGTGCTGGAAAGGAAGAGTGGCTGGGAGAGATCTCTTCCCTCAACCTAACAAATAATGACTATTTTAATTCAATGGACAATCACAGGCATTTTAAATGGAATTAAGTTGTCAGGCAAAAAAATCCCCACATCTCCCAGCAAACCACTGTTCACTCAGACACCGAAAGGTTTCTCAAGCAAGTGTCCCACGCCTGTAGTTTCTCCAACCTGCACAAATTCATCCTGATGCAGATCCATGTACCGGAAGACCTTCTCAAGCAGCCCAGCCTGGGGTGAGAATGGAGAGGACATGCCTCCCAAAAGCAGCAGCAGAAGAGCAAGGAGAGCTGACGCCTGTGGGCGGGCACAAGGGAGGAAGCAAAATAAGTACCAGGGTTTGGACTTTCGACCTCGCAAATACTTCAAGAAATCTGTTCTCCGACACAGCTGCGTGCAGTCACTCAGGCTAAAATAACACCAGGGAGTAGAATGGAAAAATCTATGTTGTGCTCCGTGTCCCCAGCCGCTTCCTTTTCAGTGCTAAAGGATTGTGATAAGACAGAAAGCAAGCTGACGAGCTTGTCTGGAAGCAGCCTTCCTCAGTCTGTTCCTGTGATCATCTTCCCCATTGGTTGACTTCCCCTTATATCAAAACACACACATATGGTGTGAAGGGCAATGTTTGTAAGGGAGGAAAGTGTGCTGTAATTTTTAAAATAATAAAATTTGTACGTGTGATTTGCTACTCTATTAGAATATTTTGTAAGGACTGCCTAGAATACCCGGCAGTGTGTGGGGTTTTCTCCATCAGCTCCTGAGGCTAGAGCACTTTAAAAAGAAACATAAAAGCACAGTGTGATATGTAACATGGAAGAACTAAAGATAATTTAGGCATAGTTGGCCACATTCCCCACGTGGGGCTCCCTGGTCCACGGCTCGCTCCCCTTTCCTCCCACCTCTCTGGCCTCTGCTACCCTCCCTGATGGCTCTTTTCCTCTCCTGGCCCATAAATGTGGGACTTGTCCATGATCCCAATCTTGGCCCTCTGTTTCCTCCTCCTCCCCTCCCACACTCTCTTCATACTCATCCCTCCACCCCGTGGTAGCTCCAGGCTGGGTACAGAGCAGAAAACCAAAGGGCAGGACTTCCAGGCTCAGAACTAATTCATCATCTTCCGAACAAGCTATTCCTTTAGGATTTTTGCACATTTTGAAGCTAGACTTTATTTTCTAGAGCCATTTTAGGTTTAGGCAGTTTCTTTTCTAGGCCTCCAGTCCTGGGCACCAACAGAGCCAAGGTGAAAATATGTGTCGAGACTATAAAGAATTATACAAGTCAATAATATAAAGCAAATTTGAATAGACATTTCTCCAAAGAAAATCTACAAATGATTATCTAAGTACATGAAAAGATGCTCAATGATGCAAATCAAATGAGTCACCACTTCATACCCTCTCACCTATTCCTATGGTTAAAATAAATTTAAAAAAGGCAGGTAACAACAAGTGTTGGCAAGGATGTGGAGAAATTGGAACCCTCGTACATTGCTAGTGGGAATGTAAAATGGTGCAAATGCTTTGGAAAACAGTCTGGCAGGCCTCAAATGATTAAATATATGACTTAGCAGTTCCTCTCAGATATGTTTTTAAGGAAGATGAGAATATGTGTCCACACAAAAACTCAACAGGGATGTTTACAGCAGCATTATTCATAATGGCTGCAACCCACGTGTTCATCAGTGGATGAATGGATGAACAAAATACGCTGCATACATAAGATGGAATATTACTCAGCCGTGAAAAGGATTGCTGATACATGCTACAACATGCATGGACCCTGAAAATATTATGTTGAGTAAAAGAATCCAGACATAAAAGACTACAGATGGTATCAGTACATTTATGTGAAATGTCCAGAATAATTAAATTGGAGAGACAGAAGTAGATTGGTGGCCGAGGGCGGGCAGGATTGAGGGGAGTGACTGATGAGAATGAGTAAGGGGTCCTTTGTGGGATGATGGAAGTCCTCAAGTTCATTTTGGCAATGTTTGTGCAATTCTGAATATACTAAAAACTATTGAATTGCACACTTTAAATGGGTAAATTGTAAATTCTGTGAATTATATTGCAATATGGTCACTATAAAAATAATAATCATAAATAGAACACATTTTCAAAAGTATAAATATATTATTGAATATGAAAAATATCTCAAAAGGAAGCTAAGAAGTGGATAAATTTCAGGTAAATGTGAACCTTGCTCATTCATAAGCAGGTTAAGAACTTGGTCCAGTAGATGGCGCCAATGAGCCGCCCCTGAGTATCCTTTGCCTCATTCTGATCCTAATGAGGCTGGATCCAGCTAAACTCTAGGGGGTTAAGGTTAGGGTTAGGGTTAGGAGCTGCAAACAAATCAGGAGGAAAGAACTCTTGAAGACTGACAGCAGCAGCAAAGAAGCTCTGGACCCCTGGGGAAGGCTCTTTGAAATGGAGCAGGGTATTTTTTGTAGGCAATCAATCTGAATTAATATGTGAGCTGTTACTTTTATTTTTCATGCATTCAATTTCCACTAAAAAAAGATTTGGTGCTCCAATCCAATGAAAACCAAAATGGGGAAATTTGAAGAAAAGGAAGCCACAAGAAGGAAAACAGCAATTTTAAGGAGAAAGAATGGTTCGCATTTCAGCAGGAGTCCCCTCCCCTCCCAAGAGGAACAGCACACGCAGGGCCCAGCTTCCTGAAGGATTGTCCCTGGTGGTGGGTCCTCACACAGGTCTGCAGGACTGCACTTCCCCTGGAGTGCCTGCAGAGTGACCGAGCACCTGTGTCCCTTTGCCACAGAGATGGGCGGAGAACACTGATCCTGCCTGTAGGCTCTTGGGTGGGGTCCCCGCATTGCATATATGCTCGCTTCTCCAGTCTCCTACACCCCTTTCTCGTTCTGTTTCTTTTCTTGGGTTACAGTCACACTTGATTTAGAATTAATTGCACAGCAGCAACCTGGAGAATGAGAAGGATTATTCCTGGCTTTTGCCTTTGCCAAAGAAGGTGCTGGAGGATAGGAAGGTGAAGGGGGCAGAGAGAGCGGGAGGCCCGGTCCTAGTGTTACCTTGGCGGGGCAGGTAACCCAGCCCAGCTGGAGAAGCCCCCCTCCACCCCTCATAGGATTCGGTTAATTCCAGCTCATTGTTTTTAGATTTGGAACAAAAACCCTAAGTGCCCCTACACTAGGCCTTATTTTTAAATACTTTAACTTTTAAGACTTTCTGAAGGCATGTCCACATTCTCCACACCTCCTCCCCGTCCTTCTCCCAGTCAATTCAGCTTCAATCCCAAGAACCTCTCCTCCTACAGGGCTGGCCTCGGGGTCTCCTCCCCTCCTAGTTCTCACCAACCACCAGGATAGTTAGATGGTCTGTGTGCTTAGCTGACAGAGGCCTCCACCGAGCTGCAGGCTGGACACAGACACAGAGCCAGTGACACTTAGGACACTTCTAACTCTTGCCCTGAAAGCAGCAGGCATCCAACAGGAGGCTGGGTGGGGTGTGCTGCTGATAAAGGCCCTCCTGCACAGTTCGCAGCTGAGCAGAATAAAGAATCCAAATGACAGCCTTCCTGCCTCCCCTCACTGGGCCTGGGCTAGGCCTGTTCCTCCGGTGCACTGTAGCCAAACCCTCTTCCGCCTCAGAGAAACTTTGTGCTGGGTCAACTTGTAAGCCAAGACGCCACTTACCAAGTCATCTAGAGTCCCATGGGATTGCTTTACGAAGGTGCTCTGCCCAAGACTGATGGGTTTGTTATAATGCAGGAAAAGTGCCTTATTGGCCTATCTCACTGTGCTGGGATTAAAAATAAAAGTCGAACCCCTCCTCCCCCACAGCCTTTCTGGATTCTGTTAATTCCCCCGCAGAGCTGGGCTGGGCCAAGCATTCCTGCGCAGATGAACTCTGGCAGCCAGTCTTGAAGTGGGAGTGGTCAGGGCGTGGCTTTTGGAGAGCAGCCTGGACAATTTCCAGCAACGGAATTCCCCAGAAAGTCCCAAGAGCTCAGTTTCTCCACCATCCTCTAGTCAGGGTCTGACCGGCAGTCTGACCCCCCAAAAAAGAGCTTAGCTCATACTCACTCCTAAACCCAAGGTGAAGCCCACTCCCCAGGTGCAGATGGCTAGAGACAGACATCACTGGATAAAGGGGTGCAGGAGGAGTCCAGCACAATCCTGGGTGCAGGTAGGGCTCAGAATCAGGCTCAGCTTGCACTGACCGCTGGCTTAGTGTTCCCTGGCCCAGAGCTGCAGGCTGGATACAGGCACAGAGCACTGCCCTGTGCAGCAGGAGGCCAGAGGTCATGCATGCACAGCATCTGGTCCTTTGAGGACCCTGCTTAGATGGTGTGCTATTCTAGGGGCAGCCAGCTAGTCTGAGGACCATGCCCCTGACTGCACAGGTGCAGGCAAGTAGAAAGCAGCAACGTCAGTGTGTGTCACCTAGAAAGGACTCTGGATATCCTTTTGCTTCCCTCCATACTGGCCAGTGATCTGGGCTTCCCCAGGCTCTGTCCTGGCTCTGCACCACCTCCGGAGCCTACTGTCATCTGCAAACATGACAAACCTGACCAAAAAGTGTAAGTGATGCCCGGCCGGTGTGGCTGAGTGTCTGAGCGTCAACCTATGAACTAGGAGGTCACCGTTCACATGTCCACACACTGCAGGCTCAATCCTCAGTATGGGATGTGCCAGTGGCAGCCAGTTTATGATTTGGGGAGGCCCAAAGAGATAATGCTAATGTTGGTACACTTGAAGTTGTCCCAGAGGCTCCTTATATCATCTTCATATGTTTTAATTCTTTTTTCTTTTTGCTCTTCTGGATTGGGTGTTTTTTGTTCCCTCATATTCCAAATCATTGACTTGATTCTAGGAATCCTCTACTGTTGATTCCCTGTAAATTATCCTTTATTTCAGTTAGTGTATGCTTAATATTTGACTGGCCCTTGCTCATGTTTTTTTGAAATTCTCACTAAGATCCTTGAAAGTCTCACTAAGTTCCTTGAACCTCTCATCAAGATCCTTGATCATCTACCCAGCCAGTGTGGCTCAGTGGTTGAATGTCAACCTATGAACCAGAAGGTCATGGTTTGATTCCTTGTCAGGGCACATGCCCAGGTTGCAGGCTCTATTCCCCGGTGAGGGTCATGCAAATGACAGCTGATCAATGATTCTCTCTCATCATTGATGCTTCTATTTCTCTCTCCCTATCCCTTCCTCTCTGAAATCAATTATATATATATATAATTTTTTAAAGAGTCTCTTTAAAAAAACACGCTAACCATCCTTAAAAAACAAAAAAACAAGGGGCATGGCCAGAGGTGCCTGTTGCTCCTCCCACTGCAGTGAAGTCACACAGAGAGGTGTCACCACTGAGCTGGACCCTGAGCTCCTCCAAGGCCTGCATTGTGTTAGGCTCTGAGCCTGGGACAGGGGACGTGTGGAGAGAGGTGTGAACCCCAAACCATGGATTGGGTGAGGACCCTGGAGTCAAGACCCAGGGACAACTCAAGGTTTTCTAACATGCTTCAATGCATGCTTGGGCCACAGCTGCTGCCTTTGCTTTCTTCTTTTAAATCTCATTTGTGTGATTTGGATATAAAAGGGTTAGCTGGATAAACATGAGATACCTGAAGGAGTAACTGAGTGATCTCAGGGGACAACAGATAAGATCAGGTGGCAAACAACAGAGAGGACATGGAGAGTTGTGGGGAGGGGCAAGGCAGTGGGAATTGAGCCACAGAGGACTTGGAGACAGGGACAGGGGAGGGGTGGCAGGGAGAGGACAGTCAGAGAGGAATTGGTGGGCTGGTCCAGCTGGCAAAGGTACCAAAATCCAGCTCCATTCTACCTTCTGGTGGTGGCCAGTGGTCCTTGGTGCTCCTTGGCCCAGAGCTGCATTGCTGAGGTCTGTGCCCCGGCTCACCTGGCCTCCTCCTGTGTGTGTCCCTGTGTCCTCTCTTCTTCTTAGGTCACCACCAGTTTCTGAAGTATGGAGTACCCCAATCCAGTACAACCTCATTTCATTACATCTGCAAAGACCCTGCTTGCAAGTCAGCTCAGGTTCTGAGGCTCCACATGGACATGCATTTTGGGGACATCATTTCCCCCAGCACACCCTGATCTTTATTTCCTTTTCGTTACCAATGTTCTATTATTTGTTCACTTAATATTCTCCGCCTCATTCACTTGAACTTAAGCTGAATCAGGGCCAGGCCGTGTTTTCCATATTCCCATGTACTGAGAGATGCCTGCCTAGACTAAAACCCCAATTGGTGTTTGCTAAGTGCACAGTCTGAGGAGAGACACCAGGAGTAGCTAATGTTCACCAGTTTAATGCTTTCTATTTCAACATTGTGCAGAAAATGCAAAATGTGTTGACGAACAAAACTATCTGAGCTGTAAGCAAGAATAAGGGGGGGGGGGGAGAAACACGCAAAATTTAACTGAGTCAGATGATTCTTCCTCCTAGCAGTCTCAGGAGGCTCCAGCTTCCTGACAACACACCATGGGGGCTTTGTTCATTGTGCTGCTGCCTGGAGTCCTTGTCTCTCTATACCACCCAAAGCTCCTGCCCCCAAGTCCTTCATCAACAGCCTCTCTGCACCCCCCTCTCCCCCAATCCCACACATTCCCTGGTGCTCACACCAGAGCCTCACAATTCAGAGCATCCAGGCTAGCTGTTCAACTACCCTCTTCCCTAACTGATCTCAGATTTTCTTATTCCTTGATGCTCTCAGCTTTGTCCCAATGGCTCTGATATATTCAGTCCTCAGCACCCATTTTCATTTGTGTCGGTTTATTCTGTGCACTTCTTAGTAATTTTCTTCTGATGTCGCTTCTCCACCATTTCACTTTTTCTCTTTTTGTAGACCTCCTACTACAGTTGGAATCCTTTGATCTATTAAGTATCCTCCTATTCTCTAATCTTTTCTGTCCATTTTTTTCCCCTGCTTTCTGGCTAAATTCCTCAGTCATGTTTTCCAACTGATTCATTCTCTCTTTGATTATGGCTGGTCTAGAATGCACACGAACTACTGAGTTTCTCAATAACAAATTTTCATTTTCAGGATTTCTCATTGGTTGTGTTCCGTGTCTACCTATTCTCCACTCACATGTGCCTGCCTCTTCTCCATGGTTTTAGTCCTTCATTTATCCTAGGAAGGTTGTAAACATACTTCATTTACATCCATTTAAACATGTTCTACTGTTTGCATTTCAGTGGCAGTAAACTCACTTCCCAATTAATATTGTGAGCTTTCTTATTGCTAGTCTGATATTATTAGTCTAATGTATACTTTTAATAGTAACTTGCAGGCTCTGCCTGAACACCAGTTGTATTCTCTGTCTCTCGGTCATTATTTCTGCGAAGAAATGCTGTGGGTACTCAGCTGTCACCCACCGGGAGACCCAGCCAGTCCAGGTTCTGACAGTGGTGCCGGCTCTGCTGCCCTCTGTGCTGGGTCCCTGTGACCCTGTGGCAGCCTCATTTCTAGATACTTCTTGCCCCGCCTCCATCCCACTCATCACTGAATGTTTTTGTTTTGCTTTTATCCAGTAGAGATATTATGTTTTTGAGTCTACCTTTTTAATTAGACATTTGAAGTATGTGTACTTGTGCTGATGGAAGTGGATGGGAGGTTTAAGAGTGAACTCCTGAGCATTGATTTGAAATCCCTGCAGTGACCTCCCTCTGGGAGGCAAAGTCCCCGGCTGTGCCCGGAGCCAGCTGCAGTGTACATGCTCGGGTGTGTGTGTGTGTGTGTGTGTGTGTGTGTGTGTCCCACACACTTTCCCAAAAGAAGGAGAAGCAGGATCAGCTTAAAGAGGGGAAAATCTCCCTTAAAAGCTTGTGTGTCTTGCCAGTATACCTTAACCAGCATAGAGGCCCAGGTCCCAGAAATCCTCAGGTTCTAGGACCAGGACATAGGACTGATAGATAACTGCGGCCAAGCAGGGTGAGCTCAGGGTCAGGACTCAGTTGCGAGGCAGGCAGAGGCACTGGGCCCCGGCACCTGCAGGGCAGAGTATGCTGTGAGGGAACAGGATGCCCCAGGCAAACTGAAGGCTGACACTTGTCAGAACAGGGGCTCCAGGCCATGCAGGGTCTCCCCCTTCCCACAACCTTCCAAAAGCTCTACTCTGCTTATCTCTCCCTTCTCTTCTCCTTTCTCAAAGTCCCTAATCCCTCTGGGTGTTATGGATCCCACTCTTTGGGGGCCCATGGGGACAGCCCCCCAGCTTCCTGTGCTGCTGCTGCTGGGAGCTGCATATGCTCCCTGTCAGTGCCATGCCTCCCAAAAGGCACTTCTGTCCAAACCAAAGAGCTTCTGAATGGGGCGGATTGTAATTGCCTGAAAGAGCGATTGAGAGGGTGGACACTGAGGCATTGTGGACCAACAGGGAGAAGTGCTTGGGGACAGATACCTAGCATCCTGATGTGTAGGGGTGACCTACGTCCTGTGCACAGGACTAGGGCAGGAGTAGGGTAGGGTTGTCCTTATGGTCCTGCTCCAGCATTTCCCTCACCTGCCCCCAAATAAAGACCTGCACCCCACTTATAGTCTAGATGCCCAAACAGGGTCAAAGGACTGAGGCTGGACACACGCCATCTCATGTCTACCCGTGACATCTCCAGGAGCCGCTTCCCTGCTCCAGTCACCCAAACAATGATAGATAATGTTTTATAAAATATGTCTGCTTAAAATTAGTTTTGAAATATTTTTGGTAACTTGAAACCTTAAAATTATACTCAAGTTAAATGATGGGTACTGGATAAATGCTCAGATCATTTCATATTAATGAAACATTAATAGCTTCTCATTACAGAGACTAAAGGTGTTTGGGCTTGTTAGTAAATGTGTTCTTCGGCCAAACTGAAAACTCTAGTGCACCACTATTGGATCTCGGTCCTCTCACTGTCTGTGAGGCAATGTGATCTGCCTGTAAACTGGACTAGGTCCTGGAGTCTTCAAGCTTCCTCCAATGTCTGGCTACAACTCTCCACACTAATGTTACCAGTCTTCTCTTGCTCCTTTTCCTAAAGCCCACACTGAAGCTGGGCGACTGGATATAAACTCCAGAGGCGTCACTGCAAAGAGTCACAGAAGGTCAACAGTAAACGCAGGCCCTCAGCAGTCACATTTGGTGCCTGCTGCTGTGAGGGCCACTCAGGACGTTCACTGGAACACCCATGACATCCCAGTCATTGAACCCACAACCTGGGAAATTCATCAAAATCATCCTAAGACCACTGTCTAAAGATGCCTTCAAGCCCAACACCTAGAAATACGTGTTTTAAATGGATGGATTTGTTGTTCTACTCATTTATGCATTCATTGGTTGATTCTTATATGTGCCCTGACCAGGACCAAACCAACAACTTTGGTGTATCAGGACGCCACTCTAACCAACTAAACTACCTGGTGAGGGCTAGAAATCTTGATCAACTGCCCTCTGGAATAAAAAATGGAGTCTGGAGTCTGTTCTAATCATTGATGCTTATTTTTGCTTCCCTGGGAATGCTTCTTATTAAATGAAGCACAGGGAGATTAGAGGTTGCTCAGGGCTGGGAGCAGGGATGAAGAGGGAAGTAATGCTAAGGGCTCAGGGTTCCTTTCTGAGATGGAAATATCCTAAAATCAGCCATGGTGATGGCTGCATACACCTGTGAATGGGTAAAAGTGATGCAATCATACACTTAAATGCAGATTCCTGGGCCCCACCCCAAACTCTTCACACTAATGTTTGGGATTGGGTGGGAGGAGCAGATTTCAGCGTTTAGTGAGAAAGGCACCAACTGAACCTGCATGCATACCATTCTCTACCTCTTCCTCTAAGTCATACCTCACCCTTTGTATTCAGCACCTAGAGGTTCTGCCGCAGTTTTACTAATAATATTGCTTTCTGTGTGAAGAAAAACTGAGTACAGACAAGTGTGCTGTGGTAGGTCCCAGTACACCAGAGAATCTGCCTGGGCCTCGAATCCACACTCTGGCTGCCACCATTCACCTAGCATGACTGTGCTCCAGCACTAGGAAACCACCTGAAAAGAAAGCCACATGTTTATAAGAACAGGTAGTCACCCAGAGCGCACTGTACACCACCTCCACATGGCTCCTTTCTCAGGAGAGACACTGCACCTGAGAGCACTTCTAAACAGCGGTTGCTCATGGACCTCATGCAGCACCTGCTCTGTTTGTCTGGCTCCCACACGGCACCCCCACTCTTTGGGCAAATACACGTCCAGCCCTCTGGTCCTTGCTCTCCGAACACCTGAGGGCGCACTCACCATTCTTCTCAGTTTGGGGTCCATCGAGCAGGATTTCTGAAACTTCTAGCAGTTCCCCTGGACCTCAATGAAGAGCGGAAGAGGAAACCTGACCAAGGCCCTCAGCGGTCACATTATATACCGAGGTGCAAATGCTTGTCTGTGCTCCACCATCTGCCTCAAAGGAAGACAAGGCTGAGATAGTGGGCCATTCACACTGGGAAACAAAGATGCTTCAGAGGCAGAAAGCCCATTTGGGGAGGAGAAACAATGAGTCTCATATGCACAGGCATGCAATGAGGTAGTGGCCTGGGAGTCATCTGATATTACTGAAAGAGCTGCTCAGGCTGTGCATGGCAACCCAGGAGCATCACTGTGCATGTGTGCAGGTGTCACCCTCAGAGTGAGTGGGTGCACAGGCCCAGGCCAGCACAGCTGAGAAAGAGGTGACGCGAATGCTCACTGTTACCTTGAGCAGCTGGCAGAGCCCTGCCCTATGGCTGGGCCCTTGTGATAGAATGCCACCCAGCAGCTAGGTCGGGGTTACTTGCCATGTGTTGGGTTGCTTGGGCTGCCACAGCGGGGCAGAAACCCATTGTCTCACATTCTGGAGGCCAAAAGTCCAAAACCAGGGTGTCCTCAGTGCCAATTCCTCTGAGGGCGGTGAGGGAGAGCATGTCCCAGGCCTCCTGGCTTCTGGCAGTCGCTGGCAATTTTGGGTTTGCTGTCTTCAAATGCATCCCTGATTCCTGCCTTCATTTCACATGGCATCTCCCTATGAGCATATCTCTGTGAAAACTCCCCCTTTCACAAGGACATCCTGGAGTCCGGCCTAGGCTATTCAGAATGGCTTCATTATGACTATACCTGCAAAGACCTATTTCCAAATCATCACAGTCTGAGGTTATGGGAGTTAGAACTTCAACATACAAATTTTGGGGGATATAATTCAACCCCAACAGGTGGTGAACTTCCAAATCCCCTAGCCTTTTATATTTAACCAAGGAAGCAAGATATTTCCACAAGACCCAAAGGTTCACTCCCAGGATAGTCTAAGACAGTAAAAGCCCTTTGTTGCTACAAGCAGTAACACAGGAAGGCTGAGATGGCAAAGGCCCCTATGGACTGGGATCCCTCATGACCAATTCCCCCAAGAGCTGGCACAGTTGGGCAAAAAGGCAAAAAGATGATAGTTTGTTGGCTCCAGCTGCCTGGAAGCCCTAGTCTATTTGACTAGCTGCCAAATGCCCGAGGATATATGCACCTTCTGAGGCCAGAGACCAAAGACAAGATCAAAACCAAGCTCTTAAAAAAGAACAAGACAAATGGCATAGACAAAGAAAACCAGACCATTCTAGGGGGAACAGGACCAGCAGAAAACAAGAGTATTCAAACCTTCACTGGAACCATGTTCGCTCAAGAAACTACTTTCACAAATTTCCTCCTGCTAATACAAATTTAGAAAGAGGAGAAGTAGAGATTCTTAACCCTCTCAGTCTACGAACCCCACTTTTGGGGGCTCTAGGGGTGTTGACACAGGAAGAACTATTACTCACCTTGTGCCAACCTATTTCAGATGCCCATTTGACAGTCCCAAAGTGATAGAAAAATTAATTTTCCTTCTACCCTTCTAAGTTCTTTGGGCTGGACTAAATGAACGTATTTATTAAGTATGTGTGATGTCTCCTAAGAATATGAGACCTAAGGATAAATTGGGCAGTTCAGGCTTGTGTGCCCTCTAGAGCTAAGGAGAAGAGGAGGGGTGGGTTTGGAACTTCCAAGGGCAGGGAAGTAATTCACAAGGAGATGGAGGAGCAAACTTTGGTAAGTAAATGTTGGCTGGGCCATCTTGAACAGGGGAACACTGAGAGGACTTTAGTCAAGGGCTTGCCAGGTTCCTTCCTGTCTATCCCATCTAGTTCATGGTGAACTGGAGTTGCCCACGATGCTAACTCCCTTCCTGTCTAATCTTATAGGCAGTCAGGGGGAAGATCAAAGGCAGGCAGGGGAAAGGGGCTGTGTCTTTTATTTCTTGAAGATACCCAGTTTAAAATAACCAGCATTTCAAAAAAGGCTTATTTCAGACTAATACTGCCTCCCTCACTATGCATGGTATTCCCCAAAGCCTCAGGGTGGACATAGACGTTACAATTTTCTCTGAAAAGTGATAAACGAAGTCCCACGAGTCCTTCCTTTAGCTAATGCTACCTACTGTTTATTTTTTTCTCAGTTTTCCTTGGAACAAATGTCATAGTATCATCATGGTGTAATACTTAAAGGTTGACTCCCTAGTATCTGTCTCCCTCCCGCAGAGCGGTAGGAATGTCAGCCAGGCCCATTGCCCACTTCTGGGAGCACTTTCTGAGTAAGATACTAAAGGAAGAAACATCTGTTCATCCTGATTGCCTCCTCTTGGTCTCTGGGTGGCACTGCAGTAGAGTTGCAAGGTGCAGAGCAGAGGTCATGGGCCATGACACTGAGGGCAGAGGTGCCCACTCCAGCCTCGGCCTGGCTGCGAGGTCATGTAGCAGAGAAGTGGGGAAGCTCTGGTTGGTTCGGGCACATTAGCCTAGCCATATCCTCACTACTGAACACGTTGTGGTTTAAGGATCCTAGCATCAGCTTTCTGACCCAGACACCAACAAGAGCAGATAAACTTCTCTCTTAGATCCAAAAGCTCCTCTCAGGCCCTCCTCTCCTCAGCCCAGTTCTGCCTTTTTCCAAATAACAGGCAGCTGTATTTTTGCCAATGGCCAGCTCCTGGTGCAGCAACAGGGAAGCAATCCTGGACAACTTTAGAATAGCCAATCCCAGGAAGAACTCTGCTGCGCACAGTACTTGGCTGATGAGCACCATCTCCCAGGGTAAGCCTCCCTGAGGACTAGGACGGCTGGTTAGGAAGATGAGAATGCAGAACACAGGCTTCAGGACGCTGTGGAGGTGACTCCAGGGCAGGGGAGGACTTGGGGAGCGAAGGTGTCAGAGAGGGCATAGGGGCCAAAACAATGAGTGTGTTTCTTTAAATATCTATATATATTTGTATTGATTTAATAAAGGAAAGGAAATATCAATGATGAGAGAGAATTATTGATCAGCTGCCTTCTGCATGCCCTTTCTTAAGGACTGAGCCTGCAACCTGAGCATGTGTCCTAATCAGGAATCGAACCATGACCTCTGGGTTCATGGGTCAATGCTCAACCATTGAGCCACACTGGCTGGGCTAAAACAAAGATTTCCAATGTCATCATTCTGTTTCATCAGTATGAGTATGAGGGCTCAAAATATAGCAGCCCTTTTTCACATCCCAGTTCTGATCTGAGTGAAGATGGTCGGCAATGTGGACAAACTATATAAACTTCGAAATGAATTAAGCCCTGCTTCCCATTTACTCTGGGCTTTTTACCAGCTGGGCCAATAAACTCTCCATTTGTTTAAACCAATCTGACTTGGTGTCTGGGCAGCATAAGGCATAGGAATGGGGAGAGACACTTCCCTAACAGCTATGGAGGGGCCGTGAGTCCCCACTCCTCCTGGGAGAGAAGATCCACCCCCACCTGAAGCCCCCACGACACACCACCCTCCACACACAGGGTGCTCCTGGGTAAGTCAGGAGGCAGGGATGCATCCAAAGGCTCCATTTATACTTTTTATTCATTGGCACAGGCAGACCACACGATCCTTCCAGTTAGGTTCAGGTTTAGAGGGTTAGCAAGACGACAGGAGGTTACAGAGTTCAGTAAAGGACAGAACCGTAGGGCAGTAAAGGACCAGAAAGGGAGGCCCTCACTTATCATAGATCCCACCTAGATACTCAGTGTACCCGACCCTGAGACAGAAGTAGGGCCAGGATCAGCAAGGCCTCCGTTTAGTCTGACTAGATGTCAACCAGAACCTTCTACAGAACTCTTGTTGTGAGTCCTGGAGACCAAGCCATGCTGAGCATCTTGGAGAATTCAGCTGACATTCGGGATCACTGATACCCCAGGACTAAAAGTGTGTTAACTGCCCAGTGTGGGCCATGTCACTCAGGGATAGGCTGGTGCTCCTGTGTCCATTCCTGGATGTCTGTGTGCGGTGTGACAAGAGAAGAGGAAGACAGACTGCTTTCTGGAGTGATTGGAGAGGACGTGGGTGGAGGGCAGGTGCCTTCAGAGGTGCTCCACAGGACATGGGGCCTCTCAGTTCTTCAGCTGAGACACTTCGTACAGATACGCAGCCAGCATTTTGGTTCCTTCTATGTAGTTGTGCCTGACGGAGAGGAACAAGTCATGGTGTTGGTTGGTGTCCCGAGGTCCAGGCACACATGTGGCATTCTGGGAGCATCCCACTGTCCTGGTGTGCGGGCCCTGGGTTCTGCTTGCCTTTAGAATTTGGGCACCTGGTTCTCAAATGTAGGCTCAGCCCAAGTGTCCCAGCAGGGACCAGTCCTGGCCCTGGACTCATCGAATAGAAGGGATCTCACCTAGCTCCCGACTATGAAAGGCCTTGTCTTGATCATGGCCCTCCCATCATTTGTTTGGATCTGAAGCCACCACCTGGTGTCCTAGGACCCAGGTCTCTGTCCCTTCCTTCCACCCTCCATTCAGGGCCTCTATCTCTTAGTCCCTGACCCCAAGATGACCCGTTTCCTATCCTCCTCTGCTCTTCCTGGGTCTTTCCTCACAGCTTCCAACTCAGAGATCAACTTCCGCCTTTGCTGTTTAAAGACCCCATCACGTCTGTATAAGCCAGGAAGGAGAAAAGCAGCTTATGGAGTCAGTAATGACATAAAGACTTCCAAACAGGAAGATGCAGAGGTCCTTCAGGAGTCGCCGGGGAAGCACAGAGATCCACAGACCCCTGGGTAAACCTTGTTCTAAAGAACTGCCACCTCCCACAGGCTTCCTTCCCTACCTCCCACCCGTGTTCCCTCACCAGGGACAGATGGTAGGGAGCCCAGGAGGCGGGGACTCCAGAAATCACCTCTTAGCATCAGGAAAGGGGCAGGTGTGGAGGAGGAAGGGATTAGGGAACCCCTGGTTTTCACAGGATTTCCCACAAGGAAGAAATTAACCCAGATTCAGGACTGAAAATCCAGAGCCTCACCTGTTGAGCTTTTCATTCTGGGAGTGGGCACCATCATCAGCGGACCCCACAGGCAACAGCATGACATTCTTGCCTGTGGCCTCCTGAAAAGTCAAAGTCACAGGGATACTGCCACCTTCCCTGGTTAAGTCCGGCTCAACACCAAAAACTGGAGGGAATGAAATAAAAGAAATAGTTAGCTTGGGGCTGAGGCTTCCCTGCACACCTATTACCCACAGCACCAAGGTCGGGCCCTGGGACAGCAGCCCTTCTCAAGAACAGCTGGGCTGGTGGTGCGGCCCAGCCTGCACGTCGATGCTCCTCAGAGCATGACTAGATAGCTACGTGTCATATGATCCGGCAGAGCCCTAGCAGACACGCTGAGGGCCTTGGCATTATCCCCAAGAGAATGTCTGACCTGTTTTCAGGGCTCTTCTCCCAGCCATGTAATGAGGGTGGTTGAAGTCAGACACCCAGGGCTTCCCGCCATGGCCCATGTACACCTTGAATTTGTTGGGGCTCTGCAGTTCAGCAAACTTCTTTGTCAAGTACTTTGTAACCTGAGTCACAAACAGAAGAGACACAAAATATTATAAAGCTCTGCACCTGACGCACAGCAGATCTACAGTGAGTCCACATGGCTTGTACGTAGTCTACCGTAAGTCCACCAGGAGTCTAAAGTGAGTTAACACAGGTCTACAATGGGTCCAGAGTGAGTCTACAGTGGTTTACAATTAGCCTACGGTAAATCTACCATGAATCTACAGTGAGACTATAACAGGTCTACAATGGGTCCAGTGAGTCTACAGTGAATTTTCTGCTGCTAAATGCTGATTTGCATAACTGTGATAATAGAAAAAGGGATTTTTATCAAGAATCAAAAGCCAGTTATTTGCAGGTAAAAAGTAATGTTTTATGTCAAGCAATTCATCTTTTATGTAGATGTTCCCATATAATGTTAATATTTAAACCAAGTTTTCAAAATTGTTCTTTGACTTGCTTTATAAAAAATATCACATACAGACTAAAAATAGAGCTAGGTGCCGACCCAGGGAGACCTCTTTATGACAAAATGCCAGTCCTCAATGTCTTCTCCCCATAGGGAAGCTTCTATCTTCCAAACCTTCCTGTCGGGCTGACTGCTCCTGGGGCCTGTCGGGCTTTCAGCAATCAGAATCTGCCCCTGTGAAATCTTCCGACAGGCGTGTTCCCCTCTGCTCCTCACCACGGCCCAGAGGGTACTGTGCCCCTTGGACCCTCACCATAACATATTGGACCCAAAGTCAGCATCTGACCTGAAGTCAGAGATCAGGTTTGGGCATGCCTCAGCACTGACAAAGGTCACTTACACGTAATGCTTTTTTATGTGGCCTTTATCTTTGATCAGTTTCTGAACTGCTTAGCCTAGTAATTACTGAGTTGGCCATAGCCAAGAGGTGGGGACATAAGGGTTTGGGTTTGTATTTTTCAGTTGTTTAGAGGAAAACCTTTTGGTCCCCGAATCTTTGCCGGTGCATGGCAGCCCCCTCCCTGAGTCCCACTGCCCCATGTACCTGCTCGCTGACAACCTCAGGAGTCATGTTGGGCACGAGTCTGATGGAGAACTTGCCAACCACTTTCCTAGGAATCACAGTCTTGGCCCCTGACCCAGAAAAGGCACCTTCGATCCCGTGGAGAGAGAGGGACGGGTATCGCCATCTGTGCATCAGGATGTCTTTCTGCAAAAATGACAGAGAAGTTCAGGGGACAGCTTTCAGAGACAAGAATGTCTTCTGGAAGGTCCCTCTTAGTCACAGCTTTCCTGAGCACAGGAAGGAGATGCAGACTCCGTAGGAGTTCAGTGAATGCTGGCTGACCTGAATGTGAGCTTACATAGACCTCATAAACCAGGAACTGAGTGGGCTCTGCCAGGTAGGCCTTACACCGTCTCTGGCCTGTCCTAGAGCTCATCCTACACATGCAAACAGATGAGAGTTACCTACCTCTAGGTTTTCTCTGCATGTATTCCAGGACCCATGTGGTCACTAGTCAGTATTTGACATTTTTAACAACCTCTCAGCACCCAGCCCGGAGTGGTCTGCACCTTCCAATGACCCAGGTGCCCACAGAAATGCCCAGATCTCTGCCAGCCACTCTGCTCCTTCCCAAGGGGCCCCTGCAGTTGGGAAGCTTGGGGATGGACAGGTCTTGGTGTGGCCAAGGCAGCACCTTGCTGCTGTGCAGCAGGGTCTGTGCTCCCACGTCCTTGGCGTACTCCTCCAGGTCAAAGTCGATCTGGTCATAGAGCTTCAGCTCCTCCTCCGTCACGGGCGCCACAGCCTCGCTGATGCCAGGGATAAGGATCTTCCCCTTCCTGTCCACCAAGCAGCCTGGAAGAGAAAGGGAACAGTGGGTGCCAGTGCATAGGCTGCAGGGAGTCCTGGCACAAGAGCCCTGTGGTCACCTTTCCTGGGCACATGTGAGCGCCTGGGCATCTGTGCTCATACGTCAGTTAACTACTATAATAACCCAGTGAAGCAAGCAGTACCATCTTCCAATTTAAGACAAAGAGACTTAGATACGAAGGGACAGGGGAACCGTCCACGGTCACAGACCAGGACACCCTGAGCAGAGTGGTCCCAGGCCTCCTCTAAAAACCATGACACTCTCCAATATTGTCTTTTCAATGCACTTTCCACAAGAAAATAGCTACTCCCAATCTGAGAGGGAACTAGAGAGAGGGACAGAGTAGACTCCAGTCCCAGGAGCAATAGACTCCACAGATGGCAGCCACCATCCATCCGGGAAGAAAACAGCACAACAAACCATATGGTGAGGCAACAGGATGCCAGGGAGAGTGAGCTGGGGTCTCTCAAGGAGCCGACCACGCAAGAGCCCTCGCTGAGGCCAGTTACAATGTCAAACGGGCTGGAGCAGATGCTATCTGAGAGAAGTGACATACTAGGTGTACCGGTTAATAACAGTGGATTTTGTAATCAAAGAAAACACAATAATTTCAAGAGAAACATCAAAGGTGTTGTATTCAAAGTAATGTCCATCGCTAGCTACACATTTCCCCCATCTTTCAGGTAATTTGTGGTTACTGTGCCAATAGAAATTTTCTTGTTTTGAGGCAAACCATTCAGAGACCAAATTTTCCACTTCTTCGTATGTTTTGAAATGCTGCTCAGAAAGTGCATGTGCCATTGATCAGAACAAGTAGAAATCTGAAGGAGTAAGGTCTGGTGAATACAGCGGGTGGGTAAATACTTCCCAGGCAAGATCTTTTAATGAGTCTTTATCTGGTTTTGAAGTGTGTGATGGTACATCATCATGAGGCAAAATTACTTTGCCGTGTCTCCTGGAACATTCTGGTCATTTCACAATCAAAGCATGGTTCAAATTGATTATCTGTTGTCCTTAGCGATCAGCATTAACAGATTCACCTGGTTTTAGAAGCTCATAGTTCACCACACCTTCCTGATCCCACCAAACACAGAGCACTGTCTTCTTTTCTAAGCAATTTGGCCTTGCAGTCAATGTTGATAGTTGACCTGAATCAATCCATGATTTTGTGCATTTGGGACTCTCAAAATAAATCCACTTTTATCACCAGTCTCAATTCGATGCAAAAAAGACTTTCATGCTGTTGAAGCAACATTTTACTGATGACTTCTCAGTTTTCCATTTGTCTTTCATTCACTTGACGTGGCACCATTTTGCTTCCTTTAAAATCTTTCCCATTGCTGGTAAACAATCAAAAATTGTTTGCTGAGCAACATTTAATTTTTCTGCAAGTTGTTTTTTAGTTTGACACACATCTTCATCTAATAATGCTTGTAACTGTTGGTCTTCAAACTTGGACATTTTTGTTTTTCACACTGAAAGCATCACTTTTAAAGCGTTCAAACCAGCATTCACAAGTATCTTGGAATGGAGCATGTTTCCCATAAGCTTCCCAAAGTATTCAACAGCATTTTTCTTCAAAATAAAGTAAATTAAAACTTCCTACAAATGCTGATTTTTTTGCATGAAATTCAACATTTTTAAGTGTAAAAATATCTATGATATTAACACCTTCAGAGAATTTGACATATGAAGTTTTGAAGCTTGTGTCAATACAACAAAATAGCATACATATCAAATCACATTGCATATATATGTCAATATATGTGTAACTCCATTTATTGAAAAAAATCTGCATTATTAACTGATACACCTAGTATGTGTCCAGAGGAAGGACAGTTGTGGGAATCTAGGGGACAGGCTGGACAAGGCCAGACAGAGCTGAAGGAGCCAGGGGTGACCAGCTGGGTCCTGGAGGCAAGAGAGAGTTTAGTTACATAGGGAGGTAAGGGTGTGAGGAAGAGGAAGGCAGAAACCAGGCATCTAGACCAATCTTTTAAAGGGAACAGTGAGTAGAGCAAGGGAGCTGCAGAGTAACAGGGAAGTGGTTCATGAAGAACACTGGAATGCACCAAATGCTGATGACAGCCTGGAAATAGCCCACCAGCTGGTCTCCCAAATCACCAAGTCATGACTGAAACCCGGCTTACCCATCAGCATAATGAGATCCGTCATGGCCTCGTGCACTGAGCCCCCGTATACTCCAGAGTGCAGGTCTTTGTCACTGCATTCCACCTGGGAGGAACAAAGACACTCTATTGGGCTGCTTAGCAAGAGCTTATTTTTATCATGTGACAGTAAATTGAACCAAGAACATTCATAAGACCTGACAGGCAATTTTTAAAATCAAAATTTGCTCCGTTAATGAGCAAAGCAAGGCATTTCCTAAATTAAAAAACTTGAAACAACAGAAAATACCCTTGGAAATGCCAACCATAGGTAAACCAGGAATATAATCATAGGTGAATTAGGAATACTGATCCCAAGTGAACTAGGAGTACTGAGTGCCGGTGAACTAGAAATACCGATGAGCACAGGCGAGCTAGGAATACTGAGCACAGGTGAACTAGGAATACTGAGCTCAGATGAACTAGGAGTAGTGAGCTCAGAGGAACTAAGAGTAGTGAGCACAGGTGAGCTAGCAGTACTGAGCACAGGTGAACTAGGAGTACTGAACATAGGTGAGCAAGGAGTGTTGAGGACAGGTGAGTTAGGAGTGCTGAGCACAAGTGAACTAGGAGTGCTGAGCACAGGTGAGCTAGGAGTGCTGAGCACAGGTGTACTAGGAGTACGAACATAGGTGAGCTAAGAGTACTGAGCATAGGTGAACTAGGAGTACTAAGCACAGGTGAGCTAGGAGTACTGAGCAGGGCAACTCCCCAAGCTCTGAGAGCATTTTGCAGTGGTTTCAGGGATACCCTGCAAGAGCTATGAAAGGGTAACAACAACCAGAAAAAAAGAGCCAGCAGGGACCTGAAGCCCAAGGACCTGGGGTCAGTGTCTGCCCCACCGCTGCCATGCTATGTAACCAGGATAAAGCAGTAACAGCCCTGGGCCTCTGCCTCCTCACCTGTAGCAGAGTAAGATCGCTCACCTCCAAGCTACTGTGTCCCCGTTGGTTATTCGTACAGCAGGTAGAAGGTGCCTTGCATAGGTTGAGTGATCAGTTCAGCAACTATGATCATTCCCAGAACTTTTGAGTCTATAGATCACCCTCACATGCAGGAACTAATCATCAGTCACCCATGAGGTAGAAACCCCCACCTTTCTGTGTAGAGGGGAAGACCGAGGCTCAGCCCACCAGTGAGTGGTAGGTCCGTCCTCCTGGGCTTCTGTATTGAGGGTAAATGTCCCAGTTCCCTTAAGATCACTCAGTCAAGAGGTAAGAGCTAAAATATGAACACTGTCACTTTTGAAAGTCTTCCTAAAACGCTCTGCATAAGTCACAGTCTTCCTACATGGACTAGCACTTAATCTTTTCTCAACTGCCCAAGACAATCCTGCAAAGAATACACCCTAGCGTGAAGGTGGATGCTGCTGATTCTGATGGCATTGGGCATGGAGCACCACAGGGGAATCACCATGGGACATGGGGAATGTGGCTGATACCTCGATGAAAAAGTAGCAGATGCCCCTGAGGCCGTAGGTGATGCAGGGCTTATTTTTCCCCAGCCAGTAGTTGTCAGAAATGCAGACGTAGTCCACGTCTTTAAAGAAGGTGTCCTTTTGGGCAAAAATCAGCTCGTCCAGGCCCTCAGAGCCTGACTCCTCCATTCCCTCCAGACAGAATCGGATGTTAACAGGGATTTCCTGTGATAGGAAAAGAGTGTCACAGGCATTCAGCTTTCACATACGTTTAGTGCTTAGAGACAATAGACAGGAAGTCACCAAATGTGAAATCACCAATTTCAAATACCCAACTTCCTCCAGACCAAGCATTCTGACAGGAGGCGTGCAGTTCCCAGTGACCCTCAGTCCCCAGGTGCTGGGCTGTGTCAAGGGACAAGCCTGACTCCAGCCACAGCTACATCCTCACTGAAAGCTTCTTGCCAGCAAGTCCTCAGGTAACCACACTTCTGAGTCACAGGGATCTATGTGCTCACCCAGCGCAGGTCAGGAGTCTGCATTAAGGCCTGAGCTGTTCTCTGAAGGCTGTACACAAAGAAATCACGGGAGTTTTCATTTGCACCCTTGTGGCCACCACCAATGCCCTCAAGGGAGGGAAAGCCTCTTCTTAATTTAGAAGGTACTCCTGCACTATGACCTCCTGCTCACACTAAAGTACCTTTTCTTAAAGAGTGGGTGCTGCCGTCTGTCCATCTGGCTCCTCTCTGCAGTTTACCAGGTCTCCCCAGCACTGTGCAGTGAGGCAGGTGGCCTTCCACACATGAGAAAATGAGGCTTGTGGCATGGCAGGGCCTCACTGGGACTGAAGTTTGCAGAGTCCGTTTCAGAACTGTCCCTGGATGGCACTGCTCAGGCACACCTCCCTTCCCCTGCCCCTCAGATGGATTCCTTCTGAGGACCTTGATATATGGATCAGGTAGATAGAGCTGCTCTGGGCAGCTCTGCCCTGAATATCCACCCCTTCTCTCAGTTGCCCTGAGCCCAGCATGTGATGGCCATGGGAGTACTGCCATCCAGTGGTTCTGGGCTGCGGTTTTCTCCTGTGCAAAATGGACCTCTGGGCTCTATTCAGATCTACCTTTTCATGCTCTAACAAACATGCTTGTCTTACAATTCTAATTTTATCATGATACAAGAGAAAGGCAAAATGCAAAAGCCATCTGTACACTTGATCACAATTAGGTTAAAAACAGGTGAAAAGATTGGTAAGTATCAAAACATTAAGTCTCCTAGGGTTGAGATTCTAGGCAACTTTTTCTCTCTGCTTCTCTAAAGTTTACAAATTTTCAACAAGGAGTGGAGAGTTCCTAGTTAAGGAAATATATTTCTAAAAATAAAATGTATTTTCAGGAGGCTGTAACCATGCAGAGAAAGTAAAGGGTTTGTCCGCTTATCACAGCTCAGGTGGGAGGGTCATTTGTGTGTGGCCTGGATTCCTGCCTAGTTACCACTAATGCGACCCTTGAACGCTGTAAAACAATTACACCTGCAGTGTTTCCTGAAGCTGGAACAAACCTCTCATCTAAAGCCTGAGTCATTGGACTGACACTTTGGGGGGAGCCTGCTGTCTCACATCCTAGTGATCTTTGATCTTGAGAAGCCCGGCCTTGTTACACTCAGATGGAACAGGGTGAACCAGGCTCAAGGAGGGTGACATACTTGATTTGTTTTCTGAAAGGCTTCCAGGGCATTCATCCAGCCGGCCACTGGCCCCTTGTCATCAGTCGAACCTCTCCCGTATAGCTTGCCTGAAACAGCAATCAGCAAATTCACAGCATTACAATGACAAGGAGACAGATGGAGACTGACCCCTTGTAACATCGTTACCAGGTGAATATCTGGTAACATCTTTGCAAAACCACATGCATCTGCCATGAGAACGTCTCTTAACACTGGAAGCCCATTTTCCTGTTATCAGGAGCCCCAAGTCTCTAGCCGGCACTATTGCTAAAATGATGGGAGAATTTGCCTTCACACGAATGCCTCCAAGTCCCTCTCCCGTCCCCGCAGATGTAGCAGTTAGCCAGTGCTCACGGTCCTGCTGACTCAGGGCACAAACTTCAGACCCAAGTCCAGGAGCTTACTATCAGTGGGCCAGTGATTAAAATCGACTTCCATAACCAGCTGGAATCAATAAGGGTAGAAAACCTGGGCAGGGCGGGGAAAGCACCATACACCCTTATCAAGAGAATGACAAATCTGACCCCACCCCAATTTCACATCTAATCTGATAAAGAATGGAACTTACGTTCCTCCCATTTTTCTCCAGGGTATCACTGAAATCTAACAGCACAAAACTGCGTCCTCTCAGTGTAAAGAGTCAGTCCCTTCCCTCTGCACCCCTGCTCCTGGGGCCCCTCCAGGGGAAACAATACCTCCCCCGGGCCTGCTGTCATGTGACAAGAGCCCTGAGGGCAACCAGGGAAGAGCACAGATGGTCATGCCTGCCAGGGGCTCAGCTTCCCTCTGTCTTGGTCAGCTCTATGACTTCCTCATTCCAAAACTGTTTCCAAATGTTTGGCAGTTTTAACCCACCCAAAAGTAGTACAAGGCTTAAAGCCATCATACCCTGGGAATTTACTTTTAAATTGAACCCAACTTTTCACAAAAGCTAAAGATCTCTCCTAAAAGCAGAGAAATGCTGGGAGGAATGCTGACAAGGTGACAGGGGGTAGGGGACGGTGCAGACCACACTGCACAGAGGTGTACGAGACAAAGAGGCATGCACTCCCAGCTTCTTCCAGTGTCCTCGACGCTGAGTCTGCTGAGGAAGCCCCCTCCCTTCCGAGCAATCAGGAGGGGCTGTGTTCTAAGCTGGCGGTGCAGGTGGGGGAGGAGTGATGAGGAAGACAACTCAAGGAGGAAGGGGTCCCAGTGGCATCAAGTCTCCAGAGAGTGGTCAAGTGGAGACTCAGCATGTGAGGCCTGCACTGCCTCAGTTCAGAACTGGGGAAGCCACACTGACCCAAGGCCACAAACCCCCGTTTCCACAGGACGGGAAGGCTTTCTCGTGTTCCTGTCTGGTGCACACGTGTAAACTTTAGGAAGCCCATTTCTATATTAGCTCACACAGCGTGTTCTGGGAGGATGGCCAAGGGAGTACTGGCGATTCTGCTGGTGAAGCAGCAGCAGGATTTGAAGCGTTGCTCTGCCAGGAGAGCGTCCGTACCGTCTCGCTCCACCAGGGTGAAGGGCTCACTGTCCCAGCCATCCTCCAGGGCTGCCGGCTGCACGTCCAGGTGGCCGTAGATGCACACTGTCTTCTTTTTGGGGTCGGAGCCCAGCTTGCCAAGTAAAATGGGAGGAAGTGGTATCTCTGAGCCATCAGGGAGCTGCAAAAGGAAAGGGAAGCATATGAAGACAGCCTTTGTTTAAAAACCTAATGTTCATGGCAGATATTATTAAAATACCTTAAGTGTTCTTATCCCTTCTCATCAACCTCCCTCTATTGTAGGGTTTAAGATCATATTGCTCAACTGAGTCATTTAATTAACAAGAAATTATTTTGCTATAACCCAGAGTACAAAGACTGAATTATGTTCACCAATTGCAGGCAATTTGGTAGATTTTTAAAGGCAAGGTTTTGTTTTTTTTAACTCTAATACAACAAAACATGCTTTTAGAGGTGAGTTTGGGGTGCAACTTAGTTCAGTATTTTCTAAATAATGAATAAAAACTACTACAATCTTAAAGCAGAAGATGGGTGTTTGCAAATCACATTAGTTCTGCACAGAAAGGGCTGTAGACCAGGATGCAGTGACTGTCACAGGAAAGTGCACGAGCAGGCACTGGAGCAGGTCCTCCAGAAGGCTTTCTGGTCTCCAATGATCCCGTAAGAACTGGGCCAATGCATTAGCCATGGTATTCTCTCTAGAATAGCAATGCAGGAAGCGAAGGTAGGTTCAGTGCTTCTCCTATACCTACAACAGCTCAACTCTCCAGCCGACACTTTAAAATCCGGCCCTGCACTCTGTAACAGCTCTCCCAGCTCCTCTATCCCAACAGAGAAAACTGCTGTCACCACTACGAAGTACCACCAGCAAAACTGGGGGAAGGGAGGGTTACAGAAGGATAAAGGGTACACATAAATTTGTGTCGCTGCTGGGTAATGATTACTCATGCTAGAACCATCACATACGTCTAGTTACTAGAACACAGTCTTGTGAAATAAACATTAATAAACTCCCAGACTAAATTGGAAATGAAACTAAACTTACAATCAAGAGGTAAATGAGCAACTAGTAAAAGTGACAAGCCTATCAGGGTGAGTGATGGCTGATGAAAGTTTCTGCCCCAAGCCCAGGGTCTCTGAGCACTCCAGGGCATACCATACATTCAGGAACGCACCAGGCTGCCGGGATTTTTGCAGGTCCTCAGATTTGTCTTTCCCAGAAACTCCACTCATAAATACTCAGCATAAGTAACTCTCAGCAACCCCACAGGCAGCCCTGTGCAGCCCTCACAATCCCTGCTGGACTGGAATCAGGAGGCCCAGGTTTTATCGCCACTGGGAACTGGTGTGTTTCCCAGTGGAGGCAAAGCCCACCTGGACCTCGGGTGCTTCCACTCATGAAAAGAGCAGGCTGAGCTGAATGTCCACAGTACAATCCAGGGACGATGACCTCAACTGACACACCAGCAGACAAGAAAAGTGAGATAAAGCAAACCTCGCCACACCCTGCAGTAGAAAGTGATACTGCATCTTCAAAAATACATGGCATGAAACATGTAATTCACATGGGACTGAAATCACTGGAATGACTCTGCATGAGTGGACTGTTCACTTCAATTAGAAGCAATTTTCTGTCAGAATCCAGCTCACACATAAAGTTCCTCTTTTTCAAGAAAAAGTGCTGTTCCTCGCAGTAGGGATGCTGGAGACAGAGTGTGGGGACCATGGGAGTCTTCGTGTTTTTACACTTACATGGATAGAGTGTAGCTGCCTAGTTTAAAAGGAGACTGATTTCTGATGAATCTCAGTTATTTTCTAAGAACAGTCTCTATGCTAACTGGTTGGGTAACCCTCTGCACTTCTCCTTCCTGGAGATAAATGCCGAGAATGACAAAAACCTGTGCCCCAGTCCAACTGAAGAAACCACACAGATATTTATATCCAAATTAGGTCTTTCTGGTGAAAGACAAGCAGGGTATCTGGGAGTACACTCATACCTTCTGTTTTCCAATATCCACCAGTTCCACGGAGCCGCCCAACTGCTTGATATCCGCAGCGGCCACTTCCATCATCTTTTTGATTTCCCCTCTCTTCTCAGGCCACGCAGATACACTCTGGATGGCCACCCATTCCGCAAGCTTCTGTTTGTGGACAATAAGCAAAAAGGGATTCTTAAATAATACTCCTAAAGGAAGAAAGGCATCCATACTTTTGCCGTGTTTCAGGCACCCAACGTTGACCTGCTACCTGTGGCCACTCCATGTTGAACATGTTGACCACACATGAAAGAATAGGTCAATCAAAACCTACGTTTACTGACCCTGTAGCAAAAACTATATAGCATAACAGAAACATGTCAGGATGCATATTTTTTTTTTTTTACCATTAAGCATGAGGTGAAATAAAATGTAGAGTCCATAAATACCTTTATATCTGAACCTAACAAAATTACAAATGAGGGATATAGAAACTACCCAAGATTTTCAGTTCAGGTTAGCTTAGTTATCATCCTTATAACGGCAGGTTCTCTAAAGTATAAGTTTTAGAACTCTAAAGACTTCATCTGAAATGCGGCTACCAAGAATAACTTTAAAGCATGATTCTTTAAATTAAACTCAAGTAAAAGATTAATCTATAATGTTACTGAATCATTGAAAACACCCTAAATGCAAAAGAGCTCTTTAATCTTCTACAAGAAGTTATAGATGAAGATTAAACAAAAATTTCAATTAGCTCTGCCATTTCTAGAAACATATATTAAGACTTTCTGTCAAAAGCCAAAATTATATCTTTTATACTGTAATTAGGAGGTAAAGGAAAAGATCTCTAGATTTATATATACAGAGTGGGGCAAAAGTAGGTTTACCGTTGTAAGGAAAAGTTTATTCTCATATTATTTTATTATTTTTCATACAAACATATAAACCTAATTTGCCCCACCCTGTATACACTCACACACAAACTTTTTTTTTCCTGTGCAAACACTTAAGAACTACTCTCTTAGCAGATTCAAGTTTACAACACAGTATTGTTAACTATAGTAACCATGCTGTACAGTAAGCTTCCAGAACTTACTCTTATTAAAACTGAAAGTGTGTGCCCTTTGCCTAGGATCAGGATCTCACCACTTCCCGTAGCCCCTGGCAAACACCATTCTATTCTCTGTTTCTCTGAGTTTCTTGTTCAGATTGTACAAAGAAATGAGATCATGCAGTGTTTGTCTGTCTTTAATACTTGATTTAAACAGCATAACTCACATCAGTTCCACATCAGTTCCCCTGAGCTCCAAAGGACTAAACTGGATTTTAAGTTCATTAGAATAAATAAATATTCCCTTACCTTGATGTAGCGATCCTGATTTTCATCCACATACTTAAACAGGGTAGCGAGGGCCGACATCTTCCAACCAAAGGGCAGGCCTTGGAGATTCTTGGAGGGAAGAGCAACCTGCCAATCCTGCTTCTACACAGGCCTGGAATGAGGAAAAGTCACTCGGCTGTTCAGGGTCATGAACTCCTACCCCACCTTCCTGGCTAGCAGTGATCACGAGGACTCCAGGAAGTGACGGAAGAGGCAGAAATGAAAGCTTTGGGATGCAGTGAGAGGCTCAGGTTGATCTCCCATCTTTTTCAGAAGGAAAATGTACCCAAGATTGTGTCACAATGGCAGATAAAGAAGCAAAGGCGAGTTGAAGACAATCTGATGAAAACTAAAAGTAGGTACTTTTCAGTAATGCTGACTTATCAGCACTTAAAAATTTAATTTAATTTTACTCTCCTGAAGCACATAGAGAACTTTACTATGACCACAGAGGCAACCATCACTCCAAGGATCCCAGCAAAAATGTCACAGCCTACCTCTTACAGTCACAAAGGCACAAAATAGCAAAAAAGCCCAGGCCAGGCTGATAAACCCTGTTTAAGAAAGTTAACAATCTGAGTCCAGAAACTGCTAAAGGCAATATGGGAAAGAAGGTCTGATTAGAATAAGCAGCTCCATCTACCTGTGCCCGATCCCCCTGTGCATTTCCAACACCCAGTTTCCCATGTATGAGACCTACCACATTCTACCCCACAAATAAGGGGGGGAGGGGGAGAGATCCTAACGCCTCACCTTTAAAATCTGAAATGCATATGAAACAAAAATGATTCTGCTATATACTGGGACTTTCAAAATTGCTGTCCCCTCCTTCAATTGACAGTTTGAATCCCATCCAGTGGTTGGAAAGGGCTCAGTTATGCCGCAGAGATAGGCAGTATTTCAGACCCAGAGCTGCAAATTCACGAGAACCCACCACATCCAGGAGTGCTGATGCCTGGGCACCGACACACTAGTTAAAGAGCATGTTTTGGCCAGGACCAGTTTGGCTCAATGGATAGAGTGTCGGCTTGGGGAATGAAGGGTCCCAGGTTCGATTCCGGTCATGGGCATGTACCTTGGTTGCGGGCACATCCCCAGTAGGGGGTGTGCAAGAGGCAGCTGATCGATGACTCTCTCTCATCGATGTTTCTGGCTCTCTATCTCTCTCCCTTCCTCTCTGTACAAAATCAACAAAGTATATTAAAAAAAATTTTTTTAAAAAAAGAGCATGTTTTGTTTGATATCAGATTCCAAAGTGATTTCTGGACAGGGGAGTGACTGTATCTGCTGTGACATGAAGCAGGAAGCTGCTCAGCAACTGAGGAAGTTGCCAGAGCTGTGCAGGGTGAGTTCAGTGAGAAGAGATCCAAGTGCTTATTTTCAGTGCCTCCTTTCTTCTCCTCAAATACCAGCCACAAATTATTACAAACCTCCCAGCCAACTCAGCTGATGGCTTCAGCTGAGGCTCTCATCTGAAAGAGCCCAGTAAGACAGTCCATGAATGCTGCAGAGGGATTTCACGGTTTTTAAGAAGTCAAATTTTCATCCATCTATCACCAAAAATGTAAACAGGAGGATGTCTATGCTATGCTGGGCACTTTCATTTGGGCTTCTGGTCATCAAATACTACAAGTCCCAAACTCACTGCAGGATTTTCTCTTTCATAGTATGCTCTTTGCAGCCAAATTAACTCATGGCCTTCCAGTAGAGCCACCGGAAGACAGTACTACATACACTGCACCTTTCATCAAAGGAGAGTCAACAGACCAGATTGCCAGGCCAACCCTCCAGGGCTGGGCCAAAAGCAGCATCTGAACTACCAGTCAAAGCAGGCGAGGTTACTTTCTCCCTTCACTCACTTTCTGAGTATTTCTTATCCTCCCCTCCCCACATCAACTGGGACCTGCGGATTGGAATCTGTTAAGGTAAAAGCGCTGAGTTGGAGTGAACAAAAGTACTTTCGAAACAAATACCCTTTCGAAATAAGTATCCTGTTCACTCCCCTCTTGAAACCTCAAGTTCCTGGGGTGTTACAAAATTTCACTAGTGAAACTAGTGGGCACGGAATGAGGAGTGACCCTGGGAGCCCCCGGAACCGTCTACAATACCTACAAACCAATCTTTGTCCCCATTATTTCACGGCATACGTTACATTATATCAATGCCTGAATCGTGGCTTCGGTTTTTGAAAAAAAAAAAAAAAAAAAAAATCCCTCCACTAAAACGGGAAGGAACCTCCAGTTTTCCAGGACCAGAGCTTTATCCCAAACATAGTTTTACACATTATCTTTCCTCACTCCTCCGTGCAAACACCAGGGACGACAAAGATGTGGACGGAAAGTCCCCGTACAGGGGCGGGCGCTCCACGAGTTTACGACTCAGCTCCAGGGTGACGCCCGGGACCCCATCTTGGCGGGGAGGGGGGTTGGTGGGCCTGTCTGCGAGACCCAGGCCTCGGGGATGTAGTGCCAACGTCCCGGGACCAGGGATCACCTCCATGTAACGGAAACAGAGCCCGACCTGCTCAGACCCGCAAGCTGCCACCCCCGCCTTCAATGCCGGCGACAGTTAGAGACCCCAGAGCCGGGGCCGGGCCGCGCAGCTCCATCCAGAGCCTCCGCCCTGAGCTCTGCGGGCGAGGGAAAGACTTCCGTTCGCCGCGGGCCTAGGGACGGAGGGCGCGCCCTTCCCCGCCCGAGGAGCCCGGATTCCGCGCCGGCCCTGTTTGAACGAGACACCCTGGCTTTCAGTCACCGCCAGCTGCCCAGACCAGGCGGTGGGCGCCGCCCCTCCAAGCCCCCAACCCGACCCGCTGCGCCCGGAGCCCTCCGTTCCGGCCTCGGCATCCATTCTGCGCCTAGCGAGGCGCGACTCCCGGGGGCAACCCGCCCGCCCGGCCAGGAAAGGTCCCTCACCCGCCCGCAGCCGCCGCGCCTAGGCCGCTTCACGTGCCACAGTCACGCCCCCGGCAGGGCTAGCCCCACCCACCAATCCCCGCCCACCAATCCCCGCTTCTATAGGACTAACGACACCCAGCCCGCCCACCAATCCCCGGACTCTTCCGGGAACAGGCATAGCCCCGCCCCTCCCCGCCTTCGCCCCGCCCTCTCAGGGCACGACCCGGGGTTTAGCGCTGACCTCCCTCTGTGTCTTTGGCTGCCTCTGACTTGGCCCCTTGGACGAATCTGACCCGGTGACTTATAATGAGGTTCTGAGATCTCAAGTCGGGTAGCCCACACCTCACCCCCTGAACTCTCTAACTTTGTGGGGTGTCCCATCCCGGTGGGCTCCTGAGCAGTGCACATTTTGCTGGTCACACACATTTTCTTTTCACGTAGCTTTGGGCATTTCCTTTGCAAAACCATCAGCACCATTACCGATATTTTAGTATATAAATTCAATAATCCCAGAAATCAAGGAAGGCAGACTGCCAACCAATGGTCATTGTGGCCAATTTAATGCCAATTTGGAGTGTAGTGGATAAGGAAACTTTATTCAGTGCAAAGAGCTCGATTGAAATTCGGCAAGAGCAGCATCAGCATGCTGTGAAATAACTGGGGTGGGGGTTCAGCTCAATCCCACTCTACCCATCTGGTTGGTGTTTCAGCCTTTCAGCTCCAGCACAGAAACACAATCTTCAGTCTAACCACCGGCATGCTGACATACAGAAAGAAGTCCCTTCCCTGGTCCTTGATTTGTTTGATCTCACATAAATGAGGGCTCCAAATCCTTGCAGTCTGATTGGTCAGATCCTTGCTAATAGATTATACATATGAAGCTCCAATTGGTCAGGGAAAGTCTTAGTCCTATTGGTTGAAATAGGCTTCCAGGAACTCTTCTGGCTCAAGATAGCAGGAATGCAGTACAGGCTAGGGTGACAGGCCCCTGTTTAAAAATGGTTGCTATGCTCTATTTTTTAAAATTTTGAGCCCAGTTACCCACCAGGAGCCCTTCTTGGTAGGTGTCTTCTTTCTCAGGCTCCAGCTCCACAAGACACACCATTTATTTATCAAACATCTACTACTCATATTTTACAATTCTTGGGCATAATGACTATCTCCATTTGATTAATTCTAAAAGAATTTGGCAAAACTTATACACCTTCTACATTCTTTAAGTCTTTTCTTTAAACAAGTTTAACATTTGCAAAGGATATACTAGTAATTTCCCACATCCTATAAATATTTTTAGTTCCCATGATGACCACAGATCCTCCTATGTGGTTACTTGAGGTCTCTGAGTTTGCAAGGTTGCCACAAAGGCTTCCCCCAAGCTTATCATGTTTAGTTTCTGGCCCCTTTTTGTCCACAGGTTCTATAAATGAGATTATTGCTGGGATGAGACATGGCTCAGGGAATAATACAACAACAACAAAAAGGATTTAGAGGATCTATAACACATTACCTGTTAAGTTTATAGACGGTTTATATTTATGTGGTGGTTATAACTAAGTTAGCAAGGAAGCTGTTGATAAACAAGAGCAAGGAGGCTTGGGTTCAAGTAAAAAGTGAATATGCACTTATAGCACCGATAATCTTTTGACAACAAGTAATGATAATGTTCCTCCTACAAATCTGAATAAAATGTAAGAAACATCATGTCTGGCCAGTGTAGCTCAGTGGTTGAGCATCGGCTCATGAACCAGGGGGTCACCATTTGAGTTCTGGTCAGGGCAAATGCCTGGATTTACAGCTAGATCCCTAGCAAGGGACCTGCATGAGGCAGCCGATCAATAATTCTCTCTCATCATTAATGTTTCTATCTCTCTCCCTCTACCTTTCTCTCTCTGAAAACAGCAAAAGTAAATAAATAAAGGATAGTCATGTTTTAAAACATGTAAGAAACTACACAATTTATTCTTGATACAGAATTCTTTTACTTGGAAATATAATGTTAATCATCCCCTTCTACCTCTTGCCCCTTGAAATAGTACAAAATATGTAACTGAGGGGTGTCCTTGATTAAGGAGGTGTTCTCCAATAATATCGATATACTATGGTATTTCATACTGTCCCTCTGTTTGAGGCTTGTAAAGAGTT